GCAGCAAATTCCCTGCAGCATCCCTCAGCCAGAAAACCGAGTGAAGACCCGGAAATCCAGGTGATCTCCGACGCTGCTGCTCAGGTGCTTGGCACCTCGTGCAACAATCGACCACTCGCTGAGTCAGACATGCGGAAAAGTCAAACTGACGTCCCGCAACGATTCCGTGAAAGGGCTGTGGCCTCCGTAGCGGATATCCAGGAGACGGGTGATCAGAAACAGTTCATCCGACAAGAAAGAACGGCTAAAAACTGCCTCCCGCCTGACTTGAACGACGGACAAGAATCAGACCAGAACGAGAAGGAAGAACCCGTCTTCAAAACCGAATCGTGGCTGGCGTCCGTTGACCTTGTGCCGCAGAAAACAGTCACCGGTCATGATGTAGATGCAGAAGTCAAACTGAAGACAGAGGCCACGGAAGCGCGACACAGCAGTGTCTGTATGGACGACGTCCATCAACCAGAACGAACCGTGTCGGAGGCCGCCAGAGCAGTAAGAAGAGATTGTCCCGATCTGCTCACAAAGGAAGACTTCCGGCACGAAAACCAGATGAACAACACGAGTGAAGTGCAAAGCAGCACACCATATGTGAGACAAGCACACCCCGATGCGGACTACGATGACACCTATCTCCCTGCCGAAGGAGCTCTGGGTGCTGTCTGGGACGAAGAGCGAGACTCGCCGAGTGCCCAGTTCCGAGACAGTAAGAAGCAGACGACCAGACGAGGAGCGCTCAGGAGAACTGCGGTTATCTTCGACCCCGTGAGGATCGCCGCTCCGTATCGGATCACGGTGCAGATCCTCAAGGAGAAACTCTGGATGCTACGACACATCCGGAGCCGATGGAAGAAAGAAAAAAATCCCAAAACCTGGCACATCGAAAGGACTCTGGTCCCTGGTTCGAGAACAGAGCCCCTGCCAGGACCGGACGGACGAGTGCGCGCTGTACGACTCGTCACAGCAAATGGAGCGACCCACACACGGCCGGTCACCGTGGTCGCTGTCCTAGAAGAAGCAGCTCAGCTGTAGTGAACGGGTTTGTCGCCACATCATTCCCACATCCTGTCAGCTGTACTTCGACCGTACTCCTACTGACCCACTGAGCCTGGCCTTTAGACCATTTCTGAAACTTCATCTCACCCTCCGTCCCGTGGAGCAGACACCAAACTCGCCGAGATTTATGTCTTTTCCCGTGTCCCCCTCTAGCCCGGCTCGCCACATGGACCGCCCTCCCCTCCCCCGACCGCGCAGCCGGCCGTTAGGCGCGCGGACATCTGGAGGTGGGGGAGCTCAGCTGAGTGGCGCGTGCCGCGCTGCCGGTTGACACTGACCTTGAGTACCGAGGGAAACTGAGGCGACGAAGGACCCTGCTGACCTACTGAGAGCAGCGACCGATCAGCTGACTGCTGGAAGGACAGCACATCAGCTGTTCTGGTGAACGACAACGGAAACCGGCAGCCGCCGTGTCAACACTCGCGTTGCGTTGCTGGTGTGGCCGAACACTGCGCACCGGAGACTGGCGTCAGAAGTGACGAAGTGACGCGACCAGTGGACTAATGTGCAGCTGACCAGGGACGAGGTCTAGCACAATGAACGATCGCGAAGGTGCCGAAAGTGTTTGCCTTCGTTATGATTTAGTACTAAGTGATATAGGTAGTGTACCATGAATCTGTATAGGTGCTTGTGTAGTTTTAGGAAGAACTCGCGAGAACCTGCGTAGCGAAGTCGTGAATCTCGTCAATGTACAGAATGTTCCGTCGGTGTTCAGTAATTGTGTGATCTCCCGTCTTCAGTCGATCACAGGGGAGGAGTGTGTCACCGACGAAATGAACTGCCCTGTTGTTCTTCTCTTTCGTTTTTACATTTGAAGCCAAGCGTGATCTATCGCAGTACTGGTCGTGCCCCGTGAGCCTGGACCAGCTCTTGTGTTAGTTTCTCGTCTCAAGTTCTAATTGCCTACAATTTGTCACTCGCGCTATCGCTTCACACTTGTCGGCTGTTCGTGCTCGCCGCGCACCGTATCGTATAACCGAACGTGCCGCGCGAGCCTGCTCAGACTTTTCTCACCAGTTTCCAGTGTCGCTTTCTGAGTGCTTTTAGATGTACAACCTAATTGTTCTCTTTGTGCCCGCGGCGGCTCCTCGAGTCGCTGCGGGCAGTCTCCACTTGAACGCCACCGAGTACAGTCCTCGGTGGCGGTGCGCGGCTCCACCGGCGCCCCGATGTGCGCCGGTGTCAGTGAAGTGACGGAATCGTGCACCGCGCACGATTCCGACGGCACCCCCAGCGGGCTGCCAGAGTGAACGGCATCCCTAGCGGATTGCCGCAGTGAACAGGCACCCCCAGCGGGTTGCTAAAGTGAACGGGCACCCCCAGTGGGCTGCCAAAGTGAACGCCACTGAGCGCGTAGCTCAGTGGCAGTGCGCGATTTCGCCGGCGCCCCGACGCGCGCCGGCGTATTGCGAGTGAATCCGACGGCGCCCCCGTCCGCGGCGGCGCCGGTGTGTCCGCCTCGGCGGACAACAGTGACCATCGACAGTGCTACTGTGTTTTCTGGTCTACCTGTCTACTCTGCGTTCTTCAATTTCACCCTCGTCTACCGTTCATCATCATCTATCGTCCGGAATTCTTCAATATATTCTTCAAAATTCATCTACGTTTTTCCTCCGCTACAATAAATGTCCCGGCCTCCACCAGAGGCACGACAGGGTCGGCGACAGAGATCAACATCTACTTTTTCCTATCCACTATGGCTTGCTGGTTCGTGAATAATATATGAATCATGTAAAAAAATGTGTTAATAACTCACTGGTCCTGAGAATAGTCACCAAATAATATGTACAAAAACGATATCTTCCACCCTCTCCAACCTCAAGCGGGAACAAACACAAGAGGATTTCGAAACAGATGCGCCATAACAGAGGCTTTTAACCAGCTGATTAAAACGCTGCAAAAAAGTTGACTGCAAGCCACTGCCTCGTGAATGATTATATTGATAAAAATTATCCTACACAATATTAAATTATAATGAATTCAACATTGTGAGTGTAATTCACTACAAAAAAAATCATTTCTCTTCAGTTATTCAACCAAAAGTGTATATGAATAAATATTACGTCATCAGATTACATCCATTCATTAGGGGAGAGAGAAGCTTAAAAGTAAATCCTTGGTTGTCTAATTATGTGCGCCACTTTGTGTCAACTTTGCCTGCATGATGTGTTTTCTTGTAAAGATAAGACAAAATGCCAGTTCGAATCCATTTTCATTTAATTATGGGACCAAAGTCAGGCTCAGGGCTACCTAACACCTGCCTTTTCAGCTGGATTTTCAGTGTCAAATTCTTTGAAGAGTTTCTCAGACCACATCTCGTGATCTCAGGACTCCAGGCCAGTTTCCAAACATTGGGTTTTTTGGTGTTTTGATTCTGCCTTCTTCCCCTAGGGAATGTTGTCATGAACTTTTATTTATTTTATTGTGAGCTATACGTATTACCTACCATTAGACTTACTAGTTTATCGTGCTTTTGCAACATGAATGAGTAGGTATTCTTCCTTTTATAGACCACAATAGGTTCTTGACAATTCTAATTATAACCAAGCCTGTGAAATGCTGAGGTCCATGTGTTGTGTTACCACTACACTTAGCAATGGAACTTCTACCACAAAATGTATCTTGCAGTGGCTGATATTGCTATTACTACAATTTGAGAGCCTCTTACTGTCCAAAGTTTGAATCATTTGCTGATAATTTTTTTTTTTGCACAAAATCAAAAATACCGGCATGCTACCGGCAAGACATGCCAGATACCACGAATAAACCTGCGGTAGTGAAAAATTACCGACATGCCGGCAGTGCTGTAGGGAAATTTTGCAACTCTAAAAGCGACCTGGTGACCTGACCTTAAGAGTTAGAAGATTCAATCTTGCACACCATGTGTAAAATTGATGAGGGAATAGTCGTACCAAATTCCGCTATTCGCGAAAAACCTCAGGGGGGGATATCCGCCCCCCCCGTCGGTGCGCGTGTTAAGAATGAATGCATTAACAGTCATCTGATATCAAATCAAAATAAGTCAAAATGATATCAAAATGCACAATAATATCAAAATCCACCTAAGCTATCACTGGCTTTATGCGACGAAAAGTAGCTACAATGTCCACAAAAATGCCACAACATAGTCCAGCCGGTAACCCATTTGGTAGAGCCTTGGACTCTCGGTAGTGCTAGCCCGAGATCGAGACGCTCGATATTATGATACTCCTGACGGGGATGGTCGGCGGTTGGTGGGAGCTGCCGCCGCCAGTTAAAGTCGCTTGAGTGGGACGGACCAGCACCCAGGACCCAGACATAAATGCAGCAGACGAGGTAAAAATTCAGTTTTCCATTGGCATACCCGGAAGGCCTGTTCGCCTGTCATTGCATTATTCATCAGACCTATTATGGTAATCTGATTCCGACGAGGAACACATTGCTACTTATTGCTACCTGCAACAGTTCACCAGCCACAGACACCAAATGACGGTAGGCCGTGGACAGAGGTCCGCGGGGCCGTATGTTCCTCCTGCCTGCCCGCCGGGCCCGCGGCAGACACAGAGCACGGTAACTGAACGGCCGGCGGCCCACCGTCAGAGCTGCAGTCATCCGACTAACTTTGGATGAGTTGAGCGGCAATCACCCCCGCGGGACCAGCCGCGGACGATTAGGTTCAGCAGGAGCCGCCACACAGCCCGAGTGGGGACATTACCTGCGCTCACAACTCACATCTGTATACCGACTGTCACAACTTACAACGAGCACTAACAGAGAACAGCAACTATCCATTCATAACTCTGCTTTTCAGTGTGTGATCCATGCATAGCTCTACTTCTCGGTGTGTGAGGCCGCTACCACCGCCACCAGAGACAGAACTTACAACGAGCACTGCCATAAGAAAACAGCAACTATCAATTCACAGCCCTGCTTTTCAGTGTGCGGTCCATTCATAGACGGCGCCTTACCTTTCGCATCAGCTTGGCGCGGTAGTGTTGCACCTGTTCCTGGAGTGTGTAGCCGGTCTTGACGGAGCGTTGGCCCGACTCCAGGTCGTCCTGGTAGGCCACCACCTTCAGTTCGACCTCGCGCAGCTTCACCCGCCGCTCCTCAGACACGTCCCTGTATGGGGAACACACGGCGAGCGGTCAGATGGGGGCGCGGTCGGACTGGGCGTGCTGTCGTGGGCTGCGGGAAGACAGACACTAAGACGGGTGATAAACCAGCACGGACAACGAACCGCGCGCGTGTGAGTCAACTACTACTACTATGAGAAATGTTTTTACTTAATGTCAGTTTGTGAGTGGATAAACACGATCGTTCAGAGTGCGATGACATTTGACATCGCTGAAGTTTCAAAGCCAAGATTTTCAGTGATGAAGTGTTTCAAGAACGGTGAATACGTAGCAATAACACCTCGTTTCGTATCATACACATTTATAATAACAAGCTACAAATGTGTAATTATGTGGACAAAGCATCACATATTTTTGAAAAAGTAGTTGCAGCCATGTCATTCAACATCAAAGAAGTTGGAGACGTGTATCTCAGTTCGCAATAACAAAATCCTTCTGACTGTTCCCCGCTGTTAAGACGCGATGGAGACGGACGCGGCTTTTTGATAACAGAGAGATCAGACGGCCCGTCGGTCTGATTATTGGACGAGCAGTCACAATGACAGCGCAGCGCCGCGCTCAGAGAGCTCGCAGGAGGCCAGTCCCGAATACCGGCCACCGGCCCTGCGCCACGGCTCGCCGACCATCGTCACACGTAGCGCTTTTATTGTCCGCCGATTCGCAGGCCGGAGCCGCTGGGACGCTGTCCTACGAGCGACGGAGGCTCAAGATGAAAGGGACTCCCATAAACACGGACTATTTACACACGACAACGGCGCCACACAATACGTCGCACGTTTCTGATGGTCGCTTAGTTTAACACAAAACTATCCAATAAAACTGCCACTAACGCTCGCCCTCAAGGCGTCGCCATTCGGCAGCTATCTTGGTGACCAGACCGCGCGCCCCACTCGCTCTCCATCAGCGACACAGTCCTGTCTGAGCCAAGCTGTCGGGGGCAGACACTAATCCAGACAGTGGCCAGGTCAGAGCGATGCGGGTACCGGCCGCTTCCCTCTGATACACCCGGCGACCCGGCGACGTTTCGGCGTAGGGCGCGATCGACCAGTGGAGACCGGCCTTATTGCGTGTGTCCCGGCCCGGCCCGGCGGTCTGCGGGCTATCCAGCGCTGTCAGCGTTACGCCCGCCCTCTCTCGGAGACGTGCCGGCACGATCAGAGGAGAGCAGTCTTTTTCGAGCCTCGACATCTTCGTCTCACCACGTCACAAATCATCTTATCATCCATTAGCCCTAAAATGATCTCATTGCACCAAAAGATCTAGCGCAAACAAAAAGCTGTCGGCAGCGCCAGTTCCTTTCCAGACATCACGTCCGTTCCGAGTGTCGTTGGACATTGGCTAGCTCACCACCAGAACACCGTGTGTGTACAGTCCTGAATCCTGATGCCTAACACATCAACACTTCACGGTTGTGAGAAAGCAGCTCGCGCAACACTCTCCTACTGATATGACAGTACGCTGGAGCAGGAAATTCACTCTCTTCCGCCTCTGCAGCAGGGTGACTGAGTACGTGTGCCCAAAGCCCCCGGAACCCCTCATCCCGTACCGTGCCGTAGGCAGGGTCATTCAACGTTTGGCGGCAATATAGTTTAGGGCACATAACATGGCAGCCAACGAGTAGCCGGGTGTGTACCATACGAGCCATGGTACCATGCCGATACGTGGCGGGCGAAGTAGCCTGCCGGTCGTAGACGGGAATTTTCAAACAGACCAGCTCACAGGCCATCGGGTCGAGCGCTAACACCCGACAGTGACAAACGCCCCACATACGGCGATATAAAATAACAGCGAACGTTCCCCATCAGTATTTCAGATTTAATGTCGATTTCAGGTTCAATCTTCAAACGGAACTGTCTTAAGGATGATGAGAAATGCACGGCCAGGTGAAAGTGGGATTCTCAGAAGGCGCAGTTGCAGCTGAGGAGCCGAGCTAGACTAACCGTCACTGCTTCAGTTGGCAACTGCCGATCGGCCGGTCCGTGAAAATATATCAGACACGTCTGTTGAACCTTTGTAGGCGATTCACCAATCACCATACGTTATACCATCATGCAGCGTAAACCATCAGGCATCGTAAAGGAACAGTGGGCATCGCCGATGAATTAAGCGATCAGAAGAGATAACGCAAGACTCAAATCAGCACACGCCAAAGTGATAGCGTCGTATGTTGAGGGGCGGGTACGAATAACTCGTTATAATTAATGCTTTATTGGTGATATGGTGACCCTACGTAGCATTCATGTATAAAAATGCGCTACTGTTGGCACACTCGGCGACCTATCTACCTGCCTCACATGTGTGACTATTCATCCGAGCGACCCCTGTGCAGTATTTCTCTCAGATACCCTGTGCGACCATTCATCGGACGATACCGGCGTTGTATCTCCTCCCCTGTGTCCCCTGTCTGAACTCAGACTCACATGTCGGGCGAGCCCGGCGCCGTGTTGGTCTGACTGCGCGAGTCGTCGTCGGGCGGCGGCGGCTGCGGCTGGTGCGCCGGCGGGCCGGCCACCTCCTCCAGCGGCACGCCATCCACGTCATCGTCCGAGTCCTGCTGGCGGGCCGCGGCGCCGGCCGCCGCCGACACGGCCTCCCACCTGGACGTGGTGACCGCGCCGGCGGCCACGTCCGTCGGGTCGACCGTCTCCCAGCGCGAGGGCACGAAGCCGCCGGCGCGTCCGGCCGACTCGGCGGCGCGAGCCAGCGCGCCGGCCGTGCCGCGGTCCACCGAGGGGCCGCCGGCCTCGTCCACTGGCGGGCGCAGCGGCGGGGGGAGCGGTCAGCGACGGCCAGCAGTGGTCAATCAGCAAAGGTTAATCAGCATGATAACACAACACAGGCGGGTGCGACCGAGCGCACTGCCAGAGACATTAATAAAGGCAATAGTGGAGGAAAAAGGAAGCTGATCAAGCAATACAAACACCTGTATAAGTCACACAATGCAAAATATTTCTTGTTTTGCTTTTAACGACAGTTTTTTTTTTAAATGAAACGTTTAAAGCACCCTATAACATCGAAAACAACTTTATCCTACACAATATCGCCGGACGCAAAAAAAAAAAAAACATAAAGCCCTACCAGACACTCAGAAGTGAGTGTCTGGTGAACGACTGTCATCTCCCAGAATATTCGGTACTAGGACCATCATCCCGTCCGTCCGAGTGACTCCGACAGTTCAATCTCCGCCCCCGCCCGTCCCTGAAGGAGCCAACGCCGCCCCCGGCCGCCCACTCACGCGGCACGCCGTCGACGTCGTCATCGTCGTCGTCGTCGTCGTCGTTGGCCTGCTGTCGCGCCTTTTTGAGGAGCGCGGCGCCGTCGAGCGGCACGCCGTCCACATCGTCAGAGTCGCTGAGCGGCGCGCCGTCCACGTCCGACGTGTCGCCGTCGCCGGCCGCGCCGCCCTCCGTCTGACGGGGAGGGGCGCCGGTCAGCAGGGTCACCAGGAGGTCAGCAGAGGTCACCGGGAGGTCAGCAGGGTCACAGGGAGGTCAGCAGGGGGACAGGGAGGTCAGCAGGGGGACAGGGAGGTCAGCAGGGGGACATGGAGGTCAGCAGGGTCACAGGAAGCTCAGCAGGGGTCACAGGGAGGTCAGCAGGGTCACAGGGAGGTCAGCAGGGTCACAGGGAGGTCAGCAGGGCCACCGGGAGGTCAGCAGGGGTCGCAGGGAGGTCAGTAGGGTCAAAGGGAGGTCAGTCGAGTCACCGGGAGGTCAGCCGGGTCACCGGGAGGTCAACAGGGGTTACCGTGAGGTCAGTAGGGGTCAGAGGAGAGTCAGCAGGGTCACCGGGAGGTCAGCAGGGTCACAGGGAGGTCAGCAGGGGGACAGGGAGGTCAGCAGGGTCACAGGGAGGTCAGCAGGGTCACAGGGAGGTCAGCAGGGTCACAGGGAGGTCCGCAGGGTCACCGGGAGGTAAGCAGGGGTCACAGGGAGGTCAGAAGGGTCACAGGGAGGTCAGCAGGGTCACAGGGAGCTCAGCAGGGGTGCAGGTCAGTGGGGTCTCAACTCGCAGATTAGCCCAGGCACGTAGAGGTCAGCAGGGGACGCATCGCATTTATTTTTTTTTTATCTAATTGTTCAGTTATTTCTTGTTCTTCTACTTGTGTCACGTGCTTTGCATTGTAAAGTACATTACAAGCTTTAGCACATGACAAAACTATAGCAAATCCGTAACAAATAAAACGATCACGGGTGGGGGTTGCGGGGTTGCTAAGCATAAAACTGGTTGAGCTCCGAACTTCCATCTTGCATTGACTGCGGTTCGTTTTTCACCTGCATTGCGTGCCAGGCCCAGCCTGCGCCGTACATAAAAAAAAAAATGAAACGCATCTTGTGTCACCAGGGCTTCATTACGTCAAACAGCTTCAACACCCCACTGGCAGTGAAATAAAAGTGATTGAATCGAAGAAAAAGTGATTGAATCGAAGAAAAAGTGATTGAATCGAAGAAAAACTGTTAGACGTTCCATCGCTATGTAACCAGACCCTAGTTACTGCCGGTGAGTTCACCGAATTGCAATCAGCTGGGATCCAGTGTTCAAATATGGGGCCGATGTTGATACAATTAATAGCTCTGAGACGAGCGGGCCGGCGGGAAATGATAGGTCCACACCGAGACGAATGGAGCTACAGCAGCTAAAAGCGTCTCACATTAGTGAAAAATGAAAACTCCCCTTCAAATAGGAGACAGCGAAAGACAACTGTATCTGTTACTAAGCGAACTTAAGAATTAAATACGGTGCAAAAAAAAAACGGCAAAGAATTTAGTTAAGAGTAAGAGCTAATGTACTGAAACCAAAAGAACCATTCCATTGTAAATAGGTTTAAAGTAGTAAACGATGATTGTGAGGATGAGGCGTTACACAGCTGTCACTAAACTTTCCATTCAACAAGTCTAGTCGACAACAGATAAGAAGTAGCGAAGTACGCTGCTTTGTGCAATGTGCATGTACAGGGTGTCTCAAAAGTTCGTTGACAGGTACCAGCCATGCTTTTTTGTCAATAATTCTGAATCAACAAAAAATTAACAGTCGAAATTTTGCATGGGCATTGGTACCAACCTTCCTCAAGCAGTCTCATTGTTTTCAAACGCATTCGACCCTTCATGAGCTCACAAAAAGGGTTCATCTCTGACCATGAATCAAGCATGAAAATGGAGGTCGCAAAATCCGGTCGGCTGAGAAACTCTCTGTTTCAGGAGTAATGGGCATGGTTAAGGCGGAAATGACACATGGCAAAGTGTCGGCGAGGATGAGTACAACATAATGATCATCTAATGAAAACGGTGGCTAAAATTTTTGAAGGACAAAACCATGCGAGACTAACAGCACTTTGAACGACCCTCGTACGGCAGCAGACTCGTGCTCCGGAAAGCAGCTGAAAATGAAGGCATAACTATTGAAAACTGACAAGAAGCTCACAGACAGAGGTTACCCAGTTTCAAAAATTGCAGGTCATCGTAAAATAAAGACAAAGTATCATTTGAAATTGTTTATAATATCTATAACGCTAAATTTTTGGGGAAAATAACACGAAAATCATCAATACCAAGGACAAGTGACCCTCCAAAAGTGTCAATTAATGTAAAGTTTTATCTTACGAAGTTTCAAGAGGCAGATCTGGAGCGAATAGCCTTCTTTTAGACACAAAATCCCGACAAAACCACACGATGGACAGGTTTTGGCCGTTTACAAAGCAGAATCTCTCCTGAGGAAAACACTCCGCAACCCAGCGAAGGTCTTGGCATGGGGAATGACGAGCGTTTGGGATTTGCAAAATTTGCACAATGTGTCTAAGAAACAGATGGCCGACACATTCTTCTACGATATGCTGCGAAAAATTTTCCCCTGGCACTTCCCATTTGTTCAGGAATTGGGTTGTTTTGAAAAGGAAAATGGTGCTTGGGAGGTCGGCGCCAGTCATTCATGAAGGAGTTAGCGCCAGAGAAGACCTACAAAATACTCACGGATGGTGTCGATGCAAGCTGTCGGCTTTCAGGGAGAAGCGGATGTTGCCGGGGAGCTCGTCAAACCTAAATCCGACGCAGAAACTGCAGGGGATTCCCTTACAAGAGCTTGAAAGCTGGTAACCTTTTATCAGCCTCCGGCAGCTGACGGAGCGACGAAAATCGGCATGGGCAAATATTTTTGGAGATACAGCAAAGGGTTTGATTTCCAACCTCCCGAATCAGTTGTCAAAGCATGCATGTTTGTCTAGTGTGCACACAGACACCAAAACCTTAGATTTTTGGCCGGTTCTTATATGCTTTATGGGCATGGGAAATGTGTCAACGAACTTTTGAGACACCCTGTACATACAATTAATTCTAGATAAAATGTCACCAGCTTATTTTGATGAATTATTTAGTTCCAGCATACTGTAGCTGTCTTACTGACGTCTCCAGACCAGTGGGGGGCACCAGTTATTATGCTCCAGCTTTATGTCCTCTCGGTGATGCCGAAATTGGTCCCTTACAGACAGGTGCCACTGGGATCCAATCAGACAAAGGGCAGAGCCAATATGTTAGCCTGACGTAACGGGAGTGGGCAAACAGCACAGCGTACAGACACGGGACGCGGGCCAATCATATCCGCCGCCGAGGACGCAAGCATCGAGTGACTGGTGATCCCCAAATGAAAGCCCTCGGAAAGGCGGCACCCCGGCTAGTGAAGAGCGATGCCATTCTAGCCGTCTATTGCCTCCAAGACGTGGTAATCATACTGATCAACTGATATATGTACTCCGTGATCGGACATGCAACACTTCCAACACTGATGCAATACTCATAATAAGACAATTAACGTGTCGCCGCAATTATATGAAGTTGTTAACCTGCTGTTAGATAGATAAGCATGGGCTAAACGCATTTGTTTGAAAAATGTTAAAGCGCCACGACTTCCGGGACACCCTGTAATGGAGGCACGTATGTTGATGTCAAATATGCTTTCCGTGAGTTCAAATCAGTCAGGTACCCAGTCCTCTGAATTGTTGATAGTTGTCTAATGTCAAACTTCCAATAACGCCCCGCTGGCACGCCGGTGGACAAAGTCGTAACTTAATAGATTGTCTGGGTAGTTTTCGAGAACCAGAGCTCGTAGCAGAGCGGACTTATCAAATCACAAAGCGTTGGGGGCCATTAAAAACTCCAACGTTTCAACATCATTAAATGATAGGGCGCAATTAGCATTGTGTAACATGCAATAAAACAACAACAAAAAGACGTGCATTACTGATGCCTTGTTTATGATCAAATGACTTTGAAAATATCTAACCACCCATTTGAATAAACAATTAATTGTTCTGTTTGGAGTGGACTTCACACACGCGTGCAAACAAAGTCCCATTCAGTTACGTTTCCCAGAAAACAGGTAGGTAAGGTAATGCACATTGCACAGTCGTAGAGTGCACCTTACACTCGGAGGGAGAAGGAGAGGCATGCTCCTATAAATGGTCTTGGGCGTGCTATATAACAGTCATCTTATATCACGCGTGACGTTTTCAGCGACCATCACTGTGAAATGTGCTGTGGATTTTGTGTCACGGTGAGATCATTCGTTATTGCAGCCGGACTATATATAGCCAATCGAAGAGTGGCTGTACCTCAAAATAGAAAGTCATCCCTTCACTAAATTGTTCAGAAAAGCACGCGGGCAGTTTTATCGGACGTTAAGTTCAGTCCCCGGGTGATTTCTCTCGATGACGGTGTGCCGGGCTGCCTCCCACGGGTGCCGCCGTCCGCCGTTGGCGTTTATCACGCACGTGCAGCCGGGTGTGCCAGTGGGCGCCGGCCGGCCGCCTGGTCGGGCCCGTCACGGTCCGTGCGAGTCTGCCCCATATCCGGCTGGGGCGGGCGGCGCGGACGCCATCAGACGGCCTCAGCATCGGCCTATATTAGGACGGCCCACTCACAAACTAATGGAGCCGCATTCCTGGACAAACACTGCCGCCTTTAATCATGTGCCGGCGTCCCGGGACGGCGCGGCGGCGGCGGCGGCGCGAGACAACACGACGCCGGACGAGCCGGGTGGGGGATAGGGCCAGCGGCGGTCGGCGGAGAGGGGTGGATGATAGGGCCAGCGGCGGTCGGCGGAGAGGGGTGAGGGGTAGGGCCAGCGGCGGTCGGCGAAGAGGGGTGAGGGGTAGGGCCAGCGGCGGTCGGCGAAGAGGGGTGGATGATAGGGCCAGCGGCGGTCGGCGGAGAGGGGTGAGGGGTAGGGCCAGCGGCGGTCGGCGAAGAGGGGTGGGGGATAGGGCCAGCGGCGGTCGGCGCCGGCGGAGGGGTGGGTGATACGGCCAGCGGCGGTCGGCGGACGAGCGGCCGCACTGACCCCAACGGGGATCACGGCAGACCGAGTCACGCCCAGCAGAGGGAGTGGTGAGCAGAGCACAGACAGACAGCTAGTCAGTGTCGGAGGGGAGGGAACGGGAGAGGTAGAAATGAGACGGTGAGAGTGAGAGGGAGAGATGGAGAATGATAAAGAAGAAGGCAGAGAGCGAGACGGAGAGTAGGCAGGAGAGATTTGAGGGAGAGGAAAGGAGGAGTGAAAGGGGTAAGGAAGTCACATAGTAGCACCACACCCATGTAAAATAAAGCCTGTCTCTAATCTGCCTTCCCCATCTGGCCTGAACTGTCTGGATCTCGCGGGCCGGAACACAGGCCAGTCGCCGGCACGTGACGGGGTCTGCCGACCCTCGGAGGGCGGCCTCGTCCAATAGCCAATACGGACAATCAGGGGGGCGATGCAGCCGCTCCGTGGCCGCCCGCCAGTGACGCAAATGGCGGGGGAGGGACGCGCCGACACGGCCCCCTAATGGCTGGTGACCTTCTCGACAGATCTAATAACTACGGTCGGCTGCCCAATGTGTCTGGCTGGGACGATGGTCTATCGCCCGGCGACTGGCTGACGTCCGTAGTCAGCGGACGGTTCGCCGCCCCTGTCACCGTCCAGTGACCCCAGTCCTGTTCATGGACTGCCGACCGGGGGCGTCTACATTTACAGAACCGAAGGACTTCAGCACACTGTCTTCAGTCTACCATATCGCTATGTGGTCTTGAGCACGGTACAAGTCGGTACATGCTCATCGAGCCCAGGCAGCGCTAAGTAAACAGGCGAATGGCTTCGACGTAAAATCGTCATCGTCATCGATCCTATGCAAAGAATCATAATTTTTGCCAAAAATGCTGGGCGTAAACCCGATGTTTTTATAAAACGTAAATGGATAATCGTACGAAAACAGATATCAGCTAAAATATAAGTAATTATAATGCGTTATTGATGACAAATATTAATTGTATTCTTTATAAAAATAATTATATTTTTATAACATTTTAAACAATTATATTGCGTTATTGATCACAAATCAGCAACACATAATGAAATGGACGTCCGCCCACCATAATTAATAGAATGGAAACACTCCTGATGGCCGAGGGCATACTGCATCTATCTTTTGGAGAGATACCCGGCAATCTCGTCCCCTGAGAAATCGCTTTCGGGCTAAAGGACGCTAGTCGTAATCAGCAGCCAGTATTTCTGCGAATGTTCGTGCCAACGCGTGCTGACATCAAACACGCGGCAATTACCCGTGTAAATGGAATTCGGACACCAAGGGATTCGGGCCGCGGGGCGGCCGACGTCTGCGAGTCGCTGATCTTGTCACTTCGACCTCATTAGATACGTGTTTTAAGAGACTCAACAGATGCTTATCCACGCCAAGCTCACATTTGGATCTATTGCAAACACGGAACTGAAAACACTACACGTAAGAAACACATGAGATGAAGGGATCAACAAATGAGCTTTGGTAAACCAGGAGACAGTGAGACATCATTTGGTAAACCAGGAGACATCATTAATGGTGAGATGTCGAACAAGGGACTTGCAATGTGTAGGTATTGTGTAACGGTGTGTAAAACGAGGAATGTGTGGGCATGGTGAACCGTGCGAAGGCTGGACAGATGCATACACTGAGAGTCGTCAGTGTAAGACCATATCAAGCACAGCAACCTGTTCTTTAGTGAGTTCGTACTTTTCACTGTTTCTTCCAGTAAGATAAGATAAGATCAATCGGTTGGTGACAAGCCGTATTTAACTTTAGTTCCTTTAGTCTCGAACACAGTTGGAGTACCAAAACGATTTCATATCATAACAACTATACCATCTCTAATTTGAGTTCTCAGTTTGAGCCTCGTCGCATTGTTGTTAGCGGGTGACACACCCCTGACACACACCGGAGCCACTCTCGCCGGCACGTCCCGCCGCTGACCTGCTACCCCCGGTCCAGACCGGAGCCCCCTCGCCGGCACGTCCCGCCGCTGACCTGCTACCCCCGGCCGTGACCGGAGCCCCCTCGCCGGCCCGTCCCGCCGCTGACCTGCTACCCTTGACACACATCGGAGCCCCCTCGCCGGTCCGTGGCGCTGCTGACCTGCTTGTTGAAGCCGAGGAAGGTGTTCTGCAGGTTGATGAGGAAGTCCTGCGGGTAGACGGCCCAGTCCTCCCAGGCGCGAAACACACGCATCACGCGCTGCTTGAACGCCTCGGCCCGCAGCCGGGACGATATGGCGCCGTACGTCTCCTGGATGCCGTCAAAGATCTCCGGCAGCTTATCCTGGAAACTGGACAGCGAGCGCGCCTGTCATACCTTCACCCAGACACTGTGGCGCTCCGCATTATGGCCAATTACATTCACAGGTCTCCATTACCCCGCATAAGACACAGGCATGGAAAATACACGCCTCGTGCTGAACTCATGGAATGTTTTAATGGTCCCCAAATTTCACGGCAGCGCCTGGCCAGAACCCGATGTGCCCGAAGTGGGTAAAACGGTCACACAGGCGGGATGGGGTAACACTTAGGCCTAATAAAACCGAAACGAAGGCTCTGTAAGCTTGGGGCCTTACTGCTTACGTAATGCCAGTCATGCGCAGTGGGCTAACGATGTTCTGTGCCACTTGAGTGCGAAATTATCCAACGATTATCAGTGATTTTGTATATAAAGCAGCGTAATGCAATTACAAGGGCGATCCTTGAGCGCGTTTGGTTCCCGAGGTCGCCATTAGAATGATTGCCATTTTGCTCCAATCTATCGAGTTGCACTGTTCTAATTGGAAGCACCGCATCGGGTGGCGGGTACACAGTATCGATCAATGAAAACACAATGACAGTGGGTGGCTTGAAGGACCACGGGCCAATTGCAAACGACACCGATTCATGACAAATTGTCGACTTGCATTGCGGACAAGGGTTTTAGGGCGTGCCAAAGACCTGGGTCACTTAGTCCCCCATTAAAGCACAGAAAAGAAAAACAGCGTGGTGTCTATGTGCAGTTCAGCACAGACAAGTCCGCAAAACAATGAAACATATGCCATGCAGCAAAGCTGGAGTGCTGCTGGTATGTTGGAACGCCTCACTGGTATGAGCCGGTCCCGGGTGATGGCCGTTCCGCCCTTCCAACGGTCACTGTAGCACGCCAAACAACCTCGACATAGCTGGCCATCGCGATAGCACAAACGACCCTCGGTTAGTACTCGTACTCGTCGCTAGGTTACGTGAATGGCCCAGTCGTCCTCTCATCTCATCCGTCTCCTTCCGGTTGCATCCGTCCTCTCCCACACACCCAGTTCCCACATCTGTCCCTCCCACATACACACTCCATTCCGCCGCCAGCCGGACTCGACTCCCGTCCCCGACGGCCGAATGAGGTGACCCCGCCCGAGCGGCCTCCAAACGGCCGGCTTCAGACAGCGGCGGCGCTCCTTCCAACTCATCACGTGCGACCGCTCGGCAGCCGCGTCATCAGAAGCCCCTTCACGCACCGGCCCGGAAATTCGCCCACGGGCAATCACCACGGCGGCGGGAGGGAGCCGAGAGCGGAGCCGGAGCAATCGGCCCGAGCGGCTCCGTTAGAGCGTCATTCCCAGCGCGGACTTCTCCAGAGAAGTAGATGGTGGGTACTGAGTACTGAGTAGCGCCGAATAGCCATGGTGTAAAACGGACCACCCCCGACACTGCACGGCCCCAGTCACCAAACGTGTCAAGTCGGGGAAGTGCCATAAAACTACGGAACCATATTGGACGTGATCAAAACTAGGTACCTCTTTTGAGCAAGGCTTTAATTTTGAACATATCGCTGGCAGCCGGGAGAAACGCGAAAACCTATTATTCTAGAATGAACGTATTCTGCACATCAAAAATGTGCAGATTTAAAAGTGCAGATTAAATGTGCATAACAAGTGCAGCACAACAACATTACTCAATACTCCGCAGCCCAGCCAATGCGATCATATTACAATATTATGGTGGAAAGCCGGCATTTTCGAGATGTAAGCATAGCAAAAAAAGAAACGCTTATGAGTACTTCTGGTTACGACTGGCCATGTTCCATTATTTCCCTAATTTGATGAAAGACCACTGTCAATTACCTCTCACGGAAAACATCAACATCTCAAACTCTCCTTTTCGGTATCTCAATCAGTTTGTTTTCGAATGGCGGTTGATAATGCCCCGTTGTCGGTGGATTTTCGCATCGCATGCGGATAACGCACGACAAGTAGATCTGATCGGTCGGTATCGTATTGGATAAACAGTAACACTGACGGAACTCGACACCGATCGTAGGAAGAGGAGCGGGGAGGAGAGAGGAGGGGAGGTGGGCGGCGGCGGAGACAGAGCGTCATACGGGTCAGACGGGTCGCGGGTCGGGTCACCAATGATCGATGTCACCGGCATCGCGCGTCCCATGATGGATCGGCGGACGCCGGGGGTCGGCCGGAGCGCGTGGGACAGCGGTGCGCCCAATACCGGCCGCGGAAATACAGCGCCGTCAGCGACGCACCGACGGGCGGCCGATATTCCGCAAACGGCGGACGGCCGCGCCGCAAACGGCCCGCTATCAAAACAGCGCGGGCCGCTGGTTCAGATGAGCCGTTCACACAGCGCGCCAGTCAGCCAGAATGGGGCGTCAAAAACACAGCCCGACGGATCGTGTAGCGGCCATTTGAGGCCTCTATCGTACGCCGAGCAGCCATACAAGACGGGCGTCCGGGAAAACAACTCCCGCCGAGCAGAAAATAAGGAGCCCATTCACCATCAACCCATCTTCAGGGAAGTAATTATTCATCGGACGACATATTTATAGCGTAGAGTGGAATCTGTTTACTAATATCCATTTAATGTGACTGATAATTAATTGAATGTCCCCAAACGAGCTAAGTCGTGATGTGCGAATTAACAAACACTATAATGAATTCAATGTTCTGACAATATTCCTTTCCATCTACATTCATAAGTCCACCAGTTGCTGCACTCTATAACAAGCATTCGTGAGTTGCGGCCAATTCACATGCCTTCTATGGCCGCGTTCAGTGACGACCCGCCGACTTTCAGCCTCCGTGAGCCCCTCAGTCGGTCGGTAACTCGTCCACGAGTCTGTCCGTGGGTCAGTTAAACGGAGCGTCCCACACGTCCCTGCGGAGGCGGCGGCCAACTTGTACCAAACACCGGACCACTACCGAGTCAGCAGGGGCGGCGCGAGCCACATTGGCCCGCGAGAGTGCCCGGTCTGTGGCTGAAGTCGGACCACGTCCGCGCTCCGCGGCCGCGCAGACGAATGAAACTACCGACCGCCCGACCGCGCAGCCGGCCACTACCGCCGTTTGTGGTCGTATAAAGTCACTCCGGGGAGCGGCAGACGAGTGGGTGGGAACGCTGGACTGCCACATGAACTACCAATGGGCCGGCAGGAGGGGGTAGTAAAGGAAGGCTCCGTAATTTGTCACATCGAGCTACGAAAATATGCAAATACGAGTATGAATGACGTCACGACATCGCGTCAAACAAATACTTTATCATGGATTCTCGTCACATCGGTTGGCTATTGAACATTAACAACAAAATAATGCTTCAATAAACCTTACTGAGGACGTGACGTTGTCTTCAGCGAACAAAATTAAACAACGTATTTCAAGCATATAGCATTCTCAATTCAAGCTGTAGACACCAAGGTGCTGCCTTACCAAGTTCCAAGGAACCGCCCGACCTCGGACAAGACTCACCCACTCGAGTATTGACCCGGTGCCACTATCTGACCTCACCTAGGGTGAGCTGAGCAACTCACCACTTTCGGAAGCTGGAGGCGTTGGCCACCTTGACGGTACAGTTGTGCAGAATGTCGGAGATCAGGTACAGCCGGGCGATCTGCCGGGAGCAGAGGTGAGAGTAATGTCAGAAGCAGGCCGATGATAGGTGAGGACAGTCACTTGGCGTATCCTACGCTTCAAAGCCCACCCGAGATACCTGTAAATTTGGGCCCAGCGGAGTCATTAGAGAGGAGTGGGATAGAGGTGGGGTGAACCTATGAGGAGTGATATTATTTCGGCAGGTAGACATCTTTTTTTGGTTTATGTTGATTTTTTTTTTTTTTTTTTGGTGCCAGGCTCATTTGAGGCTCCTGGTTTATTTTTCTCATTTATCTGATATTAATCCAGCCAGCAGTATAGGTACCTATGCAAACAAAGATGCAGAGAGGAAGAAAGAGGGCAAAAGAGAGAGAGAGAGAGAGAGAGAGAGAGAGAGAGAGAGAGAGAGAGAGAGAGAGAGGAGAGAGGAGAGAGGAGAGAGGAGAGAGGAGAGAGGAGAGAGGAGAGAGGAGAGAGGAGAGAGGAGAGAGGAGAGAGGAGAGAGGAGAGAGCCGGTAGGCCAGGGGGTCAATAAGACGTGTCTGCCCGGTCACGCCCGTCCTGGTGACCGGCGGAGGCGCACGTGAGCCCTGCTAACCGACCGCTAAGCCGGCAAACCAAGACAGATAGGACAGCCGGCGAGCGCTAACGGCTCACACCCCAGGTGACCGCCCAGCGACCGGGGCAGGGCAGAGGGATACAGAGGATACGGAGGGATACAGAGGATACGGAGGGATACGGAGGGATACAGGGGATACAGAGGTCTGCCGCGGAGGTCCACACACCCCGTAATGGATCCGTGTGACCGGCACATAGTGCCACTGCCCGTGGATGGGGCGGTGTCGCAGACCACGATAAAGGCCGTGATGGATTACACAGTAGCGTCCGTGTGAGGAGGAGACAGTATGGGGCCGGCAGGGTCACTCTGTGTAAGGTCACAGGGTCATACGCAGTGTCTCAGACTAACACAGAAGCAGTAAAGTAGCTCCATATCAAACATCACATATGATAAAATGCAGCATAAGGTTCCAAGACACGGCAACAATGCAGAAACAACTACACATGTGACATGAGTGACGCCTGTTGTAATTCGCAGCGTCAACTCCGGAGAGCGCCTTGCGAATAAATGTCATTTAACTTCAAGATTAATGTCAACAAGGAATATCAAAAATACCAGAAATGCCAATAAATGACGCTTAAAGTGACAAACAAATTTTGCATCATCTGAATTATGGATGATAGCAGATCGACAAATGTGATCATAGCTGTTACTACCTTAAAAATTGACTATTTTCATCATCATTGTTTTTATTCCAACATCCTCAGCGGACACAAGCAAAGGCATACATGACAATATACCTCTGTGAGTAGGTGGCCACAGGGGAATAAACTGGAAACCTTTAACTGCGATTACACAGCGACTGCGGGCACATAAATCAGCCTTTCAGCCGTTGCAAGCATCAAAAGTCAACAACCTGATGAGAATCCAAGAATCCAAGCACACGCACAGGCATCATTCTGGACCATCAGCCATCGTACTTGAGTCGGTTAAGCCACAGGGAGATACTACTCATACGGGCGTTACGTGGCCGCCAGCGATCCTGACAAGGCTACCACACAACTTCTTCACACTCAACACGACTTCTGTCACACAAGACGAGCACATGATTTACAATCGAGCCAGTATGCCTCGTAGAAGTCGTGTTAAAACTTCTCGTTAATGCACTTCACAGAACGTCACGAACACGATGATCCCCATCAAAAGCATCCCTGAGCACCATGCAATGCGAACGGCGCCGCAATGCCTGGGCATTGGGAATATCAAGCGCTTCCATCAGCGCTGAGTGGTGGGCACTATGCGGTAGCCTTAACCCTGCCTTAACTGCGGTTGCCGGCCACCGTTCTAAGCGCGTACTGTCCGCGGAACTCAAAAGGCAAATGGAGCAGCCATACAACACGGTAGGGGGGGGGGGGGCACAATCGCTCGTCAGAGAAAGGATTTGTCTGCCCCCGGTAGATGCGGACTGAACATACCAACTGGGGACAGACCGAAAAACGCACCCCTGCCCCTACGGATTTGTTCGGTTACGTGGTCGGCGGCCTGCAACTGCGAGTTCAGTTGGACTCCCAGGTGCTCTGTATTTGATTGGTAGGGGGGGGGGGGGGTGTCCACACAAATGCCAGCAAACATTTGCATAATAAACTCTGCACCAAAAACGAAACTGTGACTTTTTGTCATGTAACCTACAAAGCCAAAGTGAAGCCCCAAAGGTCTAAGTGATCTGCTGATTTCCTCTAGCTGGCTTCGATAACCTGCCTACTAAGGAGACTGGTCGGTAGTTGTCGGCGCAATTGGAATCCAGTCCACCCTTCTTCATGATCAGCACCACTGCACTGCAAATGAAGCTATCAGGGACTCGCATCATCTCGCCTGAGACCGTTAGCAGGCCGATAATGGCCTCATACAGTAGGGGAGAGTGGGGCAAAGCGGCCACCCTAACGCTTCTCACGATTCCAACGCTTGATTTTTAAACTTGGAAAGATTCTTTCTATACCAATGTGATCCCTATTAAGTTGCCTTTTATTTCAACTGCGTTTTATTTCCAAAGGCGTTCACATATGGAAGATATTGACAAAACTTTAAACCTATGCATATTGGTCACTTTGCCCCATACCCTGGGGCAAAGCGGCCACTGGCGTCTTCTCAAGTCCCGATATGAGAAACAAAATTGTTGCCTCATGTACGACTAGGGTATTTGATGGTGACAAGGTTTAAGCGAGGATGGATGTTTACTTTATCATCTTCCACCTGTAGGTAAACAAAGAAAGGATTTTCATGAAAAAACATTTAATTGCATTATTTGGTAACTCATGCAACTGAAAAGTGGCCAAGATGAATGCCAGACGACACATTTGAATATAAATAATGTTTTTTTATCCAGATGGAAACAACTTATGGCCAATTGGGGAGTGGCCACTTTGCCCCGGCCACTTTGCCCCGCGCATACCGTCCGAGACAACAATATTCCAGCTTAGCTATTAGTGGGGTAAAAAACATTAAAATTGGTAGAATACATGTACGATAACCATGCAATGCATGGAAAAGAACGCTTATAAAAATTCCAAACGGTTATGGAATAACATAACATTTAAAAATTGTAAACATAGTTGGTAACCTGGCAAGAAATGCTTTTCCGTGTTTTACAGAACAATGGTGATGGGCCTGAAACCCCGGTCTGGCTCATTCGAACGACCGTGAAGAGAAGGATAATTGGAAACCATAAATTGGAACTGACGCCAGCTATGAAGGGCTAAAACGATGGGTGGCCGCAATTTGCCCCGGGTGGCCGCTTTGCCCCACTCTCCCCTACCCGAAAGGAGCCGTATAGCAGGTTGTTGACAAATATTCCATCAAGACCAGTGCCACTATCGTACTATATTTACGAAGGAATTTTAGCATGTTGATTAGTCTCGCAAAAGGCAAGGTATTAAATATTGATTCAAAATCAGGATCCAAAAATAAAGTCACATACACTGTGTCATAGGCTAAAACTTAAGTTGAAATGAAAAACAACGCACCAATAACAACTTCTGGGACTCAACAAGACCTTTGATACCTTTCTGAGTGCAATATAAAAGTACCACGCCATAGACCGCTATATGCAGAGGTCTATGACCACGCTTAAATTCAGATGATTCTAGTCGTTCTAACTTAACCAGTCAGTAGGTCGCAGAGATCGGGTCGGACCACCGCTCCCACCGGCCATATCCTGTCTCCAGTGACTGGGACCGGGTCAGGCCAGTCCCTCTCTCCCCTCCCTCCCTCTGTCTCCAGTGTCGGCTGGTGGGATAGGTCAGTCCCTCTCTCCTCCTCCCTCCCCTCTGTCTCGATCGGTCACGGCAGCGGCGACGATACCCAGCGATAGTGAGCCCCTGCGTCGGCGACAGACAATGGACGTATCGGTCAGCGCCCAGGGAGAGGGAGGGAGAGGGAGAGGGAGGATGAGAGGAGAAAGGAAAGGAGGAAGACAAGCAGAGAAGAAGAGAAGAAGAGAAGAAGAGAGGAAGAGAGGAAAAGAAAGAAGATAAGAAGGGAAGAGAAGAAGCGATCGAGAGACAGACAGAAAGACAAAAAGGCAGGCAAGCAGGCAGACTGCTACGGAAGTGTTGGACAGACAGTCAGACAGACCGGCCCGACCAGAGTACCCTTACCTTGGTAGTGAGCTGTGTGCCCGGGTTGCTGAGCGACTCGGTGACGCACGCACAGATTTCCTCGGCGCTGTCGGCGTGCTCCAGACACCAGACCATTGTCTCGGCGATGGCGTCCCTCTCCAGGGTGAGGTGGCGCAGCTGCGACTCGAACCGCGCCCGCTGGCTGTGGACGGGGCACGACGGTCAGTCAGACGGTACCACCCCCGGCCGTTGCTAGGGGAGGCCGTGGGACGCGGTACCTGCCCCTGGGATAAGAGCCGCTCGTTTCATTGACGCCGCCGCGACCGTCGTTAGCCGCGAGGTGGGGGGCCGGTGAATAACACCGAGTCGGGAGTTAAACACCGTCTGACCGTGTGACAAATGGCCGCACTGTAATGAGATGCACTACTCGTCTTGTCCGTGGCCGCTCTAGTCTCCCTCAGCCACCTCTGAACTATGGGAAACCCGGCCCAAACAGTCCCGGCGGCGGTGCGTCTCAGGAAACAGCCAGCGGTCGGTAAGGCGGCACTCACGGCGCATTACAATAAGCAGAGCGGACAGTGCGCGCCGGACCGACCGCCGCCAGCTGTGTTTACGGTCCCCGGACGCGGGCAAAACGGAAGTGTTGGAACAAAGCAGACGGCTCCATTGTAGACATCTCACAAAAATAGGGCGAACTGAGCACTGTATTCTGCAGTTCCTGCTTATCTCAATGGTGATACAGTTCAAGCTCAGGATAAAAAAAAAAAAAAAACAACAATAGAATGCCTAGAAAACGGACTTCGAATGTAGGGTTCACATTATACTCTCAGACACGGGCTTGGAGACAAAAAATTAAGCCATCCGCTCGGAGAATATATCATAGTCACTATAGCCCCCGGCGCCACTCACGATTGCGATAGGAGTTTGTTGCGCTGTCGCTCGGGCTCCGGTTTCTTGTGGTGGTCCCGGTCCATCATGTAGGGGTTCATCGGCGGCGGCTTCCACACCGAGCCGCCTGACACGGAGCGAACGGAGGTCAGCTGCGCTCGGGTCAGGTCAGGTCAGGTAGCCGGGCACGGCGCAAAGGCGTAACATGGGCGTAACATGCGACCAGCGAGAGGAGGGGTAAGCTTGAAGCTCGCTCGGAGCACAGTTTAGCTTGGTCTTGATATTCATCTGGATCCCAAGAGCATACCGTTCATTCTTTGATGTGTAGTGATAACATACGCTTTCTCGCTGTTGAGTTGAACTGGAGAAAGGTGTGATTGCATTATTCATTCACGAGGTATTAAGAATTAAAACGATCATACCAAGTTGAGCGAATAGTTACAAGGGCGATGGACATGCTGCCCAGTGAATTGATGACTGAAGGATATCTCACATAACAAGCCGCTTCCCAAGTATCCCAAACATCACATTTCCGCCGAGTTCACATCAGGTCACACCACCGGGTATTTCACCGAGGTACTCATCCGACACCCTATGTGACAGCGCCATCCATTTCCCATGTCCGGTCCGACCGCGGCCGTAACCGCGTCATACCGCTGATGAACTGCAGGCGGCACGTGCCGGTCAGGGGTCGTTCGGCGCGCCGGCGCCTCACCACCGCGACCATCACCCGAGCCGTTAGCGGCCTCCGGCGCAGTCTCATCAACCCTCCGGCGGCGGCTGAGTAGCGGAGAAGCGCAGCCGAACGGCCGGCGCGGCGGCTTACCTTTGAACATGCGGAACTCGTCGGTACGCCAGCGCTGCGGCGAGTCGCCGTGCAGGATGCTGAACAGCTTCCATCGGTAGTAGGTGTGCTCGGCCGACTGGTTGTCGAACAGGAAACTGTCGGAAACACGCACACAGGAAACGTACAGCGGTCAGTGGGGAAACAACGGGGCAGCTCCGGAGTGCTTCCAGTTTCAGACGTAAGAGCCAACAGTGCGGGGCCCCGATATGAAAATGCATTCATAATTTCGGCGATTCAATGCATGGTGACCGTGCCATTGCAGCAGTGCGCCAAATTAGAAAATCGGCGTAAAAACGTCTCCTGTCAGAATAATTCAAATGCTTTTATCATTTCAGCCTCATTATCACAAAGTGCAGTGCACAATGAGACGTTGATGGCAAAAATAGCTCGTAAAAGGTCTAGAACTCGAATAATAGATGTCATCTAGACCACTGCTCCATTCTAAGAGACCGGAAGGCACGGTTAGCAAAATGTTTAGTTAGAATGTGCTGGCTGCAGCGGAAACGCAGTCAAGTTTCTCAGAAAAAGCCGTAGGAAGAGGCCCATAAATATCATCGGGCAATGCTGAATGTAAGCAAACGAAAGATGTTGTGCGTTCCCACATACATTCAGCAAACCTTAGTGAAAACGTCAGTGAAAAGAACTGAAAGAGCTGGCTAAGCCCAAAGATCTAAGAGCCTTGACAGTCGTCCGCCTCCGAAAATTCATGCCCGGAGCCGGATGGGCAAATGACGTGAAACGTAATCCAGATTTACCATGATTGCGATTGATGAGATCGAAGAGTCGTGACTTCGTTGGACTTAAGATGAGAATGAACCTGATTAAAAGGCACAGAGTTGTATTGATCATTTAGTAACATTTTCAAACGTTTCTTCTCTTAACAGAGACATCATCAGTGATTCAGTGATTCGTTACATTTCGATACATAGTAACAAGCAATCAGCGCGGTGAGCGAGTCGGCACAGTATCGCAAGTCTAATTCAAAAATTCACAAACACACTAAACAAATCATACGCATCATTTCATAATGACCCCCTAGGTGACACTATTAAGTTTAACAGCGGAACTCTTATCATTGAGAGTCGGTTTTGTTTTGTGAATATATAAAGATTCCAAAATTCTCAACTGAAAACTAGACCTTTCCATGTCAATAATTTGAAAGTCATCTAATGAGAAAGGAGTGTCACAAGCTAAGGAGTGGTCCCTTACTGAGGATGCGACGGGACAAGTTAAATGGGTTCCAGTTCTGTCGGACTTTCCTTGATGCTGGCATACTCTAGTGCATAATCTTACATAGGTGGATCCTATGTAGGTCCCCTCACACGAGGGGCAACTGAATTTATAAATGACACTAGAGCGGCAAGCCTTAGGGACAACGTCTTTGAACCGAAACAGGGAGCCTATGCTTAGTTTGTTGCGTAGCACCAGCCTGGGGTTCATGTAGGGATAGTACTTTTTCAGAAGTGATTCTACTGCTTCTTTTAGTTTTAGCGACTGTTTCCCGAAATAGGGAAGAACAAAATATTTTACAAGTTTTTCTACGTGGTACGTCGAGGCCTTGGGCGTAAACCGTTTGTTCAAAAACTTGGAAATCGCTGAGTCAATAAGAGCCTTTGGGTAGCCATTTTCTGTAAAGAACTTACGGAGGAAGCTGATCTCCATATCAAAAAGTTTGAAAGACGAGCTAATGTTATAGGCGCGATAGATGGCAGTGCTTAGGATGGCTTTCTTAATAGAGAGAGGGATGTAGCTAAAAAAGCTAAGACCGAGGCCAGTGTATGATGGCTTGCGATAAACGGATGTTTCTAGCGAGTTTCCAGATCGTCTTATCCGGACATCTAAAAAAGGAAGTGAGCCGTCTGATTCGACCTCCTTGGTAAACTTCATTTTTGGATGCTGACCATTCAAAAAATCGAGGAACTTATCCACATGTGAAATGTCATTGAAAATCAAAAAGCAATCATCCACATACCTCTTGTAGTATGATGGACGAAATTCTGACGGGCACGTACTTAACCATTTTTTCTCATGGAAACACAGGAAGATGTTAGCAAACGTTGGACCTAAGGGTAGACCCATACCCACACCATCAGTCTGTCTGTACAGTTTACTGTTGAACAGAAAGTAAGAGTTTGACACAGCTAGGTCAAGCATAGCACGGAAAAGCTTTTTAGGGATGCCACCTATGCTATCGCAACCACTCATCAAGGAATTGACAGCTATATCTATGGTCTCCTGGACGGGTATGTTTGTAAATAGACTTTCAACATCAAAGCTTGCCATGATCATGCTACTGGACAGCTTCATATCATTTATGTTTCTGTTATGTTATTTATATCATTTATGTCTCTGTTAAGAGAAGAAACGTTTGAAAATGTTACTAAATGATCAATACAACTCTGTGCCTTTTAATCAGGTTCATTCTCATCTTAAGTCCAACGAAGTAATCCAGATTATGTGACACTCAGACCGAGACTTATATCGTGGCACTTGTCACTGAACTGGTGTGTTCCTTCAACGACTTCGATGGCATTTTTGAAAAAAAAGTAGATATACATAAAAGCCTTGGATTTATGAGTAAGGATATGGATTGCTAATGATTAACAGAAAACGCCTATTTCGAATGTTATAGCGGTGATCACAATGGTCAGTGTGCCAGTTGTCACTGCTGTGTTGTATACAATTAGGCGACCGTAATACTCGTATGTGGCCGTAAGTAACATGACAAATGGAATTTTAGCTACACTCAGAGTGGCTGCATTAGATATGCGCTCTGGCTGGGCGGGTTTTGAAACGCACTCGAATTCGCACAGGCAAAGTATTCAAGTTGAAGTGCCCAGGGCTTCAAGTGGAAGCTGCACAGTTCATTCAATCTTGCTTCTTGCATTCAGCCAATGCCAATGACCTATACTGGCCCATCAATATTATAGGCCCCGTCCACCAAACAAAACGGCCTATATAACGGGTGGTCAGTATGAAACTGGACAAAGTTTGAATTGTTACTGTGTCGAAAGTTTTCAAGCCAAAGCAACGAAAATCGCGTTACCGTGCCATTATTTTGTTGCGATTACGATCGCCCTAATGGATCTGCGACACTGGACCTCTGTCAGCTGCCAAGCGCACGCGCGCTGGCAGCCTCGCCATTGTCTTTCGCGGCACCTCCGGGTCGATTTGACGGATGGCCTGCTGGGTTCTTCGCTTCAATTGTTCGTCTCAGCTGACCTGCCACCTTCCCTTATACACTTTCTGTTTGATGAGCCCCCACAGATCCTCAATGGGCTAAATCTGAGGGGTACGTGGCGGGTTCATGTCACGTGCTATTTCAGGCACCCCAGCCTCCTCAAGAAGTTTCGTGTTCTAGCGCGCGTACTGTGACTGTTGTTAGTTCGGAACCTAACAGAGCATCATGCTCTGTGTTCTGAGACTCAATAAGTGGTAACAACACGCCATTCAAACACTTTTCATAGCACAGTTCGCCCGTTACATTACCTGTGCTCGGCAAGTAACTGGACACGCGAGCCCCTCGGACTCATGGCAAGCCAGACGGGCATCTCGGGTGGGTACTTGCTCCCAGGTCGAAAGCGAAGATGAGATCCACATGTGGAATAGTGTCTCCACCAGCTGAGGTGTAAAATTCGGCAATGGAAGGCATTTTGCTGCCACTGCAGGTGAAATCAGATTCATCGTCCATATGCACCTCCATGTTTTTGCTACCCTGCATTGGGCCTCCGTCACCTCTATCCTATTTCTGTACCTGATGCCTGCTTGTGGACATATTAATTGGTCATACGTTTTGAAAATTCCAAAAAATTTCCCCGAGAACACTAGGAGAGCCACAAATGTTCGGGTGACGGCACCGGTTTGTTTCTTCCGGAGCTGAATGGGCATTTTCTTGGTGATCTCGCTGTGCCCACCATGCAAAACATCTGCAATTCCTCAGAACTCATCGATGATCACATGTTCTTAAGATTTGGTGAGATCCTATGGCGTAATGTGACGCATAATAGTAGCATTTTTGCAATTTATGTTATTTTCAAAAACTTGCGCGAACAGGTCCCGGAACGCTTGCTGACTTACCGGCCCAATGTTTTCTACTAGTTAATAGCAGAAAGTTGAAATCTGAGCTGCTAATATAACATAAATGGAAGCATTCACCTGCCAAAAACAATTAAAATCTGTCAATAATTGGAGATGCTATGCTTAATCAAATTTTGTCCAGTTTCATACTGACCACCCGTTAGTTCTACGTATACTTAAGTTGTTTACAAAGACCGATTAATTATCGCCATTGAGGCTGTCAGGCAAGTGCACAATACACTAAACAAAGACCCCCGGAACACGCGAGACAATGGGTCTCGGTTAGGCCACGCTGTCAGCCGGCCACAATCACTCAGCATTCCGTTTGACGGTTCGTGAGCAGGCCACCGCAGGACATCCATCCATAACACTCATGGTCTGTGCGGCCTATCGGGGCTGTGCACCACCTGTGCACCGTACACAGTCCCGATATCACTGTTCATATGCCATACCGCATTTCATCGCACGTCCCCCTGGCGACAGGCGACCCACCTATACAGATCGTTGTGCGCCTATCACGAGCTATGTGTCAGGTACTTTACCACCGCGCGTCCGTCCCCGTGGGAGCCCACGACTCACCTATACAGCTCGTTGTCCGCCTCCTTGTTCATGATCATCGCCTCGAAGAGCGGGCCCTCTCGGACGACAAACTCGAGCATCCGGTGGATGGCCATCAGCTTTGGCCTGCCGGACACACACATGACACGCTCGTCCCTACTCCCGGCACACACTGGCGACACGGGACGCGAGCGAGACCGGCAGGGACGGTGCGGGGAGAGGACCCGAGATACTACTGGCAGGAGTGTAATTGTTATGGGATCGGTGCAAGGGAAATATTACACTAAAATTATAGCTAAGGTGACGAAGAAGTGACCACAGAAGCAGGTCAGGTGATGAGAAAATAACATGTTACTGTGCAAGATCGAAAGCGAATAAGGATCTAGAATGTTCCATGACCAGACTCATGAACATTTACATGCAAAAATCCAGCAAAGACGCACAAATTTCAATATAACTTTTATGAACGGTAAACGCACGCTAATTTGAAGCTTGGACTGTCAACTAAAACTGGTAATCGGGCTAAGGAAAGGATACCACGGTATAAAGAGGATGAATGCATATTCAAACACGACAAAAAAAAACTCGTCTAAACAGTAACAGCGCCAAGTAACGCTAAAATGTATCAGCTTCCGATACGTAATCACATTGGAAACATATCGATAACATAAGATGAAATGGCACACAAGTTGTAATGAAAATTAACATTCAAACGAAGCAAATTGGCACACATGATTAATTGAGCGCTGTGCCGAGCGCACCAGAGTAACCACCTGTGCCGCGGTCCGCCTTAGCTCTGCGACTTTCAGTCTCTGAGGTGGGAGGTTGGCAGCGGCGCGGTGGCCGGGCGGCGGCAGCGGCTGGGGCCACCCTCCGGCGGCGGCGGCGCTGACGTGACGCTGGCGGCGCGGCGGCGGCCGTCGTGGCGCACTGGTCCGTGCCGCCCGGCTCAGGACGGGAGCGGAAGGGAGTACGGTGCACCGCGGCACTCGGAGACGAGGTCCCATGCCGGCCGCCGGGTCCCGCGGCTGCACCGGAATATCGGCGATAATAACAGCTCAGCTCAGGCCGATGGTCTGCGAACCATGTTTACGCGAGGGTAGATCTGACCCGTCTGTGGCGTGCCCTGTCTGAGGGCCGGGCGGACCACCGCGCCACCTGTCCCACCGTACCGCACCGTCCGGCCGGCTCGACATGGAACCCCGTCCCGGTCCGTCCGTGCAGCGATCAGAGGCGGAGGGAGTGGGTGCCGGGCGGGCACATCACTTACCGACCGGCTCCGGACAACCGAATCAGGCGTCAGCGACCATTTACCTTTCTGTAGGGATGACAACTTTGACAACTGCTCTTTGCAACATCTGAAGAAAAACATCGGCGCGGGACATTATAACACAGCGCTGGCGAGAAGCGCACGACGGAACAATCAGTCAGTAATTGCGGTTAATTAACCGAGGCGACTTAATAAAACACAAAAATAGAAAATGTAAGTCCAGCTATGTCAAGCACTACAGCTGCCTTGCACAGGAAAACAAAATAAAAGGCAAGATATTCTAACAGGATGTTGCGTAGTACAATGGCCAGAAACTCAAGTAATATACTTTAGAACCACAAGGCGAAATAAGTCTAATATTTAGTCCAGAGATAACTGAGAGTAACGATAGGTAGTTAGTCAACGCCTCATTATTTCGACAAGTCCTTTGACCGATGCATCCCTCATTGATGATATAAGCGCCAACTCTTCATAGAAATACAGGATTTGGGATAAAGCACGGCAAAGAGGACAGTAGCTGGGATGAAGGAAACAGGAAACACTTGCTGCTGAACTAACGTAAGGAATAAAAGGCAAAAAAAAAAGAAACTACATGGGAACCATAGAAATAATTTTCTCAAATCAATCTGGCAGGAAAGCGAGGCATGTACCATCTACTGTTTTCAACAGCGGGTTCAGTATTTTTCGGGATGGCAGAGAAGCTAAGACAGGAGAGGAGCTAGGAGAGAGTAAGACAAAGAGGATGTAGCTAAAGAGGAGAGGAGAGGGAGCGGACTAGCCAGGGGTGTTTGGCGCTGGCCGGCCGGGCTCTGTTACCTTGTTGAACTGCTGCATGGCGACCGGGTCCTCCGGCAGCCGGTCACTCATCGGTAACTATGTAACATCAGGGAGCGGGTCAACGGGCGGCACACAGCCGGCACTCCAGCCCCGCCCGCCTCCGACCCACCCACCTACCCGACCCAGCCGTAACTCAGTCACACACAGTGTAAATGAGAGTCAACAGGAGGCACACACCGGGCCCTCCGTACCCTCCCGCCCCAGCCCACGCGCAGCTCAGTCACACAGTCAGAGACACACGGCATTAACCATGGGAACAGGTCTACAGGTGGTAAGCACCAGTAAAACGCCTTTTGGGGCGACCAACGGAGCGAGCGAGAGGATGGGCCTTGCACGTGCGAAATTGCGAGGGGGTACCTCCAACTAACTTGTGCACTGCACCCTACTAACCGGTCTTTAGCGATGTGCCAAATTTCAGCGCAATCGGCCTAGCCGTTCTCGAGATCTGGAAGCGGCACACTGCACGTGCGCACGTGCAAGCGGGGTCCAAACTGACTTTTGCACGGCACCCTACTAACTGGTCCCCAACCGTGTACCAAATTTGAGCGCAATCGGCCCAGCCGTTCTCGAGATCTGGGAGCGCCCCCTGCACGTGCGCACGTGCTGTAGCACCCCAACCTTAACACATGCAGATGAATTATCTGATGGAGACCTAACTGTGTACCGAGTTTCAATTCAATCGGCCCAACCGTTGTGCCGTTATTGAGGTTGCAATTTTGGGGGTTCTTAAAAAATGTCCAACTTTACCACGCGCCACGTGCGGTGGTTGGCAAGAACGCATGATGGCCATCACACCACAGAACTTTTACGTCCAAGTGACATTCAGTAAAGAAGACCGCTTGTCAATCGGATGTCCCGTTCCTAAGATATTAGCTTTTGAAGAGCGTCCCCACGGCCGGCCGGCCGGCCGGCCGGCCGGCCGCTCATACTCAGGATTTTCCCTTAATTCAGTATGAGACTCCGCTCGCTTCGCTCGCTCCGTAACTAGCACATCAGCCCCAGCTGCCCAGCCCGCTACACACACAAACAAACGCGCGGCGTCCACGCAGCCACCAGACAAGAGCTCGTGAAATGACCACTGGAGACCTTTGTAGATGAATGGCAGAGTTCATATACGCCAATCGCGATGCTTGCAATATAAAAGTAAAGTATTACTACTTTAGCAGCTACTTATTCACCATTGCCTGATCTCACCGCTGAGTAACGACGTCCTATCGAGTTCATAAATTGGTCCATCACTCTCCAAAGTCGCCCTAACAGCCCGCCAATCACTACACCTACCCGGCAGAGTAGGAGCAGCTCCCCCTCCTCACAGTTCCTCCCTCTCTCGGCACAGCCCGCCCGCCCCGCCCCTCTAGCTCGCGGGGCGCCGCTGTGTACCTTGTCGCGGTCCTTCTTCCGCGGCTGCGCGTTGAACGGCAGTCCGGACGGCGGCGGTGGCTTGGAGACCTCGATCAGCGCCGGGGGTATGTAGATGGGCTGGGGCGGGATCGGCACGCCCTTACCCCAGCCCAGCTTCATCTCGTAGCCCTCTACGTCCTTCCCTGGAGAGCGGAAACGACAGGGCAAGTCAGACGCCAGTGACGAATAAATAAGGAAGAATAAAGCCAGGTAGTGGACCTGAATAGGTTGTAGCATAACGAAGAGATATATCGACGACACCAAGACGAGTGACGACTATGCTATGTACCTAACTATGCAATGCGACTTTGCTGAAGCAATGCTAGGTGAGTGAGTCGAGTATCTATGGACCACAGGATCTCCGACTCACCACTGAGGTCCTCTAACGCCGCCTCGGCGTCTCGTCGTGTCATGAACGCCACAAAGCCGCAGTTTCGGCCGCGCAGCCGCTCCTCGTCGTTACGCGGCCACATGATTTTGATGCTGGCCAGCGGACCGTAGCGGCCGAATATCTCCATCAGCCGCTGCTCGGAGAGCTGCCGAGGAGCCGAGGGTGGTAGGTATCAGTCTATGCAGTGTGGGAAGACGGATCACAGCAGCATCGCAGTGAAATAGTAGAGCTATGCCTAGTTTCGGAAACGTTTTATGTAAGTCATGGAAACAGCAGTTTTATAATAAAGCCGATTGGACACGTGTGAAGATGAAGCTCGTGCACGATAAATCCAGTATAAAATACACGATGTGCAGACTGATGAAGATACCGTATTTCATAAGTTCTCACCTTTGGAGACAGGTTGCCCAGGTAGAGGTTAGTGGTGCTCGGGTCACCGCTGTCGAACGAACCGTACGGGTTCGGCACATCTGGAAAAAACAGCAGGTATGATACGGATCCAGCACCAACAATGGTTAGAAAAGTGGCTGGAAAAACTATCGAGTCAAAGCTATGTCAAGGTTACGCTTTAACAGTGTACAGAGCACTGATAAATACATCATACAGGAATTGACGATACATTCCTAATCACGTAAAGGCAGCTGAAGAACGGTAATCAGTTCAACGTGCTCAAAATACTGTTTTCAAAGTACAAGTTTTCAGTCACAATAGCAAGTGAGCTTATCATGATATGACGGACCCACTAAAATACACTTGACACAAATACATCCATTTCCCGTTGATCACGATACCCGTGGTAGCACCGAGCCGATGCGGCCGACCCAGCTCTGGCCTTACCGAGACTGAGCGGCCGACCCAGCTCTGGCCTTACCGAGCCGATGCGGCCGGCCCAGCTCTGTCCTTACCGAGACTGAGCGGAGAGGGTGTGATGGGTGGCAGTTCGGGCGTGTCAAACCGGGAGACGCGGCCCGACGAGCTGGCCTCCTTCATCTGCTCCTTCAGCCGGTGACGCTCCTCGCGCTCCTCCTGGATCCTGCGCGCGGCGCGACACGGGAGAGGCACGAGGTGGGAGAGTCAGTATTCACTTGATGCGCTAGGGTGAAAAGAAGAACAAAGGCGATTGCCAACAGACCTTATACATACACAGCTGGGAACAGCTTCCACACCACATACCTTTTGAGCTCCTCTTTGAAGAGCTCCAGGTTGCTCTTTTTCTTGCCATCCTTCCTGCGCACGAGTTTCGATGGCAGCTCGATGCGGCTGCGAGTGATGAGCTCTGGGGAGGGCTGCTTGCGCTCTGGCACCTCGAACTTGGAGGTCGGCTTGTACAACTGACCTTTCTCCTTGGTCGTCTCCTCTGGAGAACAAAGTCAAACAAATCAGCGGCAGCTTGTGCGGAAAACCATATTAAATGCTAAACGCATTAGGATTACTTCAACTATAGCTCGTAACTCATTTCATCATTTACAAGTATGACATTCAAGCTTTATCCTAATGATATGAAGAAATAAATGAAATTAGAGGTAAGATGTTGACTGGAGTCTAACAATACAGGGTGTCTCATAAGTTCGTTCTCACATTATATTTGCATGTGAAACAGAGTACATTGCGTCTTGATATATTTGCGACCCCTCAATGTGCTCCCCATTTAATAGGCAAACACATGAACACATGCTGCGGCATGCCAACCGGCATGTTTGGCTGCATAGCAGGCTTAAAGTTAATCCAGACTGACTTGACATGCGTCGTGAGCTCCTCGAGGCTGGAACAGCGCTACGCTTCGATGAGCCTAATTTTCAGCATAACCAACAAATTTTTATGAAATTTTGATCCGATGAGGTGCCTGGCATGTGGTCTTGCCACAAACGCCTGTCACAGTCTCCTTGCACCGCTTTTAAGCTTTGCTTGACCTGTGCACTGATGCACTGTCTTGCCTGAAGATGGGCCTACGACCTCTCGGATGCCATTTTCTCCTCTATAAATGTGTTCATACTCGCGGTTCGAGTTCAGCTTGAGGGTTGAAACTCCTCCCAGATGTTCTTAGAAAAGCATTATGCTTCCCAAAGCTGTTTCTGGGACACCAATCGCAACCTGGTCAACGTCTGGACGCCTATAACCCCACAATACCGTGACCTTGGCCTTTCGCATAGGAACATAACGGGACGAAACGGAGGCCTCCTCCTTCGCCCTTATGGGGTTGTTTTCGGGTTTGGACGGGTGTTTCATCTCGAACGTGGACTAGTTAGTCCAGATGACCTGGTTGATGTCCTCAGCCCTTTAGTTTTTTAGCCTCAGGCATAACGAAACTCATGTTTGGCCATTTTAAGACGTTTTTGACTGTTTTGAGCCCTCCGGTAAGCAAAGCTTAAGTCACCTTGAGTTATGTACCCCGAAAGAACACTCTTAGACAGCTGGTAATCCATCCTGAAAAGTCTGTTTACCAACTTTCTAACCCTTTGACCTTTTTGATGGCCACTTTGGCGCCACACAGTTTTGGCCACATGGCTCACTCCTGAGAGCTGACAAAAAAGAGGATAAACTTGCAATGATTGACTCCCGACGAATCATCGGTGTCACTTGCTGACTGTGCGTCCAGTTAGCGATGGACATTGTCTACAGACTGGTAGGCCTCAATCACCCTCAATCGTCGCGAATGGTCACGTGCTGACTAAATACCGAGACGTACCCGTATTGGAGACCTCTATGTTGCGGCGTTAGCCGTCTGTGTAGGAAACGGGCTCTCTAGCAAAAACTATTTTGTCTACAGAAATTAGTTACTGTGGAGCATATTTCTACCAGCCATGGCAACCACGAAAGCCCAATAACGAACCAATTTCAGCGTGCCTTTAAGCAAGAGAGCCTAAAAACGTAAAATTTAGGTGAGAACGAACTTATGGGACACCCTGTATAACAATTGATGACACAATACTTTTATTGACTACAGAATCACGACAAAACACAATATTTTTGACTAGCGAATCACAATAAATGAATCGCAGTTGCAGCAGCTCACCTCTTGTGCCTGCATTGAATGTTCCGGCCTTGACCCATACTTTTCCCTTGGATGTAGCTGGGTCCTCATCGAATGTCTGCACAAACTCTTCAAATGCCTGCAAGATAAGGATATAATATGGTTATCAAATGTCGAAGGGCAATGAAGAGGCTGGAAACAGTTTTAGACGTCCCAACTATGAACATGCAATACATGCTTCCAGATTATGACATGCACAATGACTCTGGCACTGGCCATGGTAGGGTGAACAGGCTCACAATATTTTGTTTGAGTCACACCTACGTTTGTTTAAAATACTTTACTGTGCAAAGCACATCGGACCATCACATTACAGTTAACCCACAGCCCCCCCCCCCCCCCAATACCAAATAAATGTAAAGGGTGTCCCGAAACTGATCAGTGACTGATGCCGGTGGTCATTTCCTCGACTGCGAGCACCGTATAAATGATATTCTACCGGGGTCCCGTCTGAGGGTTTTTGACCGTGTCAGGTGGTTACTTGACCCCGCAGGACCCCTGAAATTAACCAACACTGAAAAGCCGGCAGGTCATTCTTTTCGAGACATCCTTCGCATCCAGACTGCATATCGCCAAACATGAAGGTTATCTGTCCGCTACCGCGCGGTTGGGATGATCGAGGGCGGTGCGACCCCGGAGCAGGTCGCCAGAGACCTGGCCGTCGGCGGACTACGATCAGACACTCGCAGACACGCAATCCCCCGAGAGAGACGCTGGACAATCGCAGGGTGGACTGCGGGAATCAGCAGAGTGGCCGCGATCGTCGTGGCGAAATCGGCCTTCAAAAGGCACCATACCACAAGAACACTGGCTATGAGCTGACAATGAAGAAGCACCCGGCCTCCAGGTCGGCCATCAATCGTTATATGAAGACCTGCCTCCAATTGAAGCTGCTCAAGCTAAGGCTGCAGCCCAACCAGGTTGACCAAGGATCAGAATCGCAGGTGACTGGAATTCACCCGGTGCTGGCTGGTGCGGCCCGGCAACTCTGTTCCAACTCCAGATTGGAAAACATCCATACACTACGTCGGACGCCCGTGAGACCCTCTTGCACCAATATTCGGCGCAAGCGATTTTCCGCTGAAATTTCTGCATGATTTGCGCCGAAACTTCGGTGCCTAGTTGTGCCAAAATCAAGCCACTTTTATATAAAGCACATGTGCACGTCTACCGATCAATGCTATATCAACCAGACCAGAGAGAGCGTTCCGGGGCCTTGGACGCTCTCTAATGTTTGAGCGTCCGAATAAGTTTTTCATTTCCACGGAAACCCAATACCTCAATACGCTTAGCGCACTGTGGCATTGTAGCGTCGTGCCGTGAAACTAGGCCGGAGCCGGAAGTTCCCAGGCCACAAGAATCGGCGGAGCGGTGTGTTCCAGGCTGGCGGGAGCCAGCGAGGGCCGGGCAGCGGAGCAGCACGTGCTCCGGCAAATCAGCCTCTTCTCAGCACACAGCGCAGAGCGCCGCGGGGCACCGTTTGTCTGGGCACTGCTGGCATGCCGCAGAGTGGAGACAGCCGATTTGGTACACATACTGGAACGAGCGCAGTGGCCCGCCCTCATCTGGTGCACCGAAACGGCGTCCTCTCGGTCCTCTCCGGGGATAGGGAGCGGCAACATGCTCCCAAGGAGTGGCTTGAATAGTGACCCGGACCAGTTGTCGCTCAATTGATGTGGGGCAGCACAATGACCTGCCCTGGTCAGCGAGTGGGCGTTTGAGAGCAGGGCAGCCGATTGCTTTGCCAGGTTGTCCGCGCTCTCATTCCCCACGATGCCTTCATATGTTCCACGTAGGCTGGTGCATCTCATATGGTTTTCTGGGTTCCTACAGTCCTCCACTGACAACATCCCACCATCCTTTGTACGATGCAAGGCGTTGAGGAACCCAACGAGGTAAGATAACCAGAGCGCTGTTCGGCAGCCGGCTATTTTGTGTGCTGGGTATGACGTATTTCGCGAGCCGACGTCACAGGCGGTGACGTCGGCTCGCGCGCGAGCCGAGCGCCAACGACAAACTAACTGGAACCCTCGGACACCCTCGGGGCATAAACCGCGCAGTAGCATATTGAGCGAGTCTTATAAGGAAAATTCATATATTTTCGTTTCTCAAATGATAATCAGGGTGTCTTACCTTTTTACATATCATTTAGGCTTACCTAACACTTCAGTTGCCAAATATCTGCAATTTATTCAAGCGAAGGTATTTTCAGTAAATATCAATGGTATAGACCGAAATCTTTTGAATAAAAACTCCAACCAACAGAAATAAAAATAACTTAATTTATTCCAACCATTTCCTCCAAATAAACAACATAAAAACTCACTTTTACACACATCATTCATAGTAAAGCATACTTACACGCCGCTTTTGACAATTGCGGCGTCGAGTGGCGCGCTGCTAGCGCTCTTTTTCGATCGCAGAGACCCTGCACGCGCGCGAGCACACTACCGGGGGGCACAGGTATATGAAAAATCGCAGTGACGTAACACTTTTCTCGCTTCTCATTGGTCAATAGCCCGTTGCCAGAGCGCTGTTCGGCGGCCGGCTAGCGCGCTAGCCCGCGCACACATACGTGCACGTTGCCCCGGCAACGGGCTATTGACCAATGAGAAGCGCGCTACAGGGGGCACAGGTATATGAAAAATCGCAGTGACGTAACACTTTTCTCGCTTCTCATTGGTCAACAGCCCGTTGCCGGGGTAACGTGCACGTATGTGAGCGCCGGCAAGAGTACTAGCCGGCCGCCGATCAGGGCCCGGGGTAACGTGCAAGTATGTGAGCGCGGGCAAGAGTACTAGCCGGCCGCCGATCAGGGCTCAGGCAAGAAATGATGTTGCGTACAATCCGTTAGATAATGATGAATCGTGATTGGAACATACCTAAAAAGACCTACCTTTAGACCTACCTTTTAGGACCTACCTTTAGGTAGGTCCTAAAGAACCAAGTACAAAGAGAACAGAGGTTGAAGTGCGAATGCTGCCAGCGTGCTGCTGGCGCTGGCGGAGTGGCGCGTTAGCGTTTTGCGATGGCATTATAGCTTAGTATCAGAGTGAAGTTTGCTGACATTACCATGGAAACCCAACGCGGTGACGCACTCAGTGCACTGCAGTACTCCGCCGTGAAACGCTGTCCTGGCCCTGACGACCCAACCAATGTTACCCTCACAAAAGCCAAGCATGGTTGCCCGAATAACTGTACCTTTGCAGCTTCTTTTTCTTGTTCATGCTTTTTCTTCTTCTCATCAAAATCTTTCTTACTCAATCCTCGTTTAGGAAAAGAAGCCATATTGATATCTGAAGAGAGCACCTAAACTTATCACAAACTTCAGCTTCAAGTCTACAGTTTTAGCTTGCTATTTATCCGACACATAACTGGAATCATATGACATAAGATACGGATACTGATGCTTGAAAAATTATTAAATACTATCCCCGAAGAATAAAATATTCTCTTGACAAATTGTTTATATTGATAACATAAAACGCATGCATGTTGAATGGTTGCATATATGGCGCACATTGATAATACGACGCAAAAATGAAGTTATCCTTCATTTTCCATCGGTTCATCTAAATTTTATTGAAAATATTTTGTTTAATCATCAAATAAACGGAATTATTCTTAAAAATTATATTTTTATTTCAATTTTATTTTCTATTTTTATAATTTTTAGTTCTCCCAATGCTCTCTTAATGCTAAAAGTGATATTTTTTTTGATAAATAATTTTTGTACAGGTAGAGGTATTGCCAAATCAATGCAGTTATTTTGTTTACATATGTAATCGACACAGAGGGCGCTCCGCGGTGGGGAAGATGGCGTCCCGGCAGACTCATGACGGTAATTCATTTATTTTGGCTGAAATGTTGATTTTTATTTCTATTTCGCATCTGTTAATTACTTATGTGTTGAATTTCAGCGTACCTGCGCTGTAGCCTGGGTTCAATCTTATTATTTCTGTATGGCATGCTGCGCCACATATGTCTACTCTTGAACGTTTTGCGTAGATTTGTTGAAATTTCATTTATTTTTCATTTCAGTTGAGCATTTTCAAATCAATATAGAGCTAAGGCTGTCCTTATACACCTCTCAGTAAAGGTTAAGAAGAAATAATATTCAGCCTAAGGATAGGATCTGTAATGATTGTACCATTCTCTGCCACTGTTCGGTATTATGATAGCAGGCGTCTCACATGCTGCCACCGGTTTGGGAAAAGTCGCTAGATTCGTCAGGTCTAGAGATATTTCTACCAAGCCGCTAATGCTATATGGGGTAATCACATAGCGGTGATTTCAAAAACGGAGTCAGTTTTTTTCTGAGCTGGCGGGGGGGGGGGGGGGGGCGTTTGGGGGGATTGCCCCCCTTGCCGATAGCTCGGGAACGGCTGATTGGAGCCAGGCTTGCAAGGTGGCGTTGGAAAGCGGTCGAGTAAACAAGCCTAATTAGTAATGCAAACTATCATCGGGATACTGCGGGGGGCGTAGGGGGGATGGCCCCCCTTGCCGATAGCTCGGGAACGGCTGATTGGAGCCAGGCTTGCAAGGCGGCGTTGGAAAGCGGTCGAGTAGACAAGCCTAATTAGTAATGCAAACCATCATCGGGATACTGGGGGGGGGGTGTAGGGGGGATTGCCCCCCTTGCCGATAGCTCGGGAACGGCTGATCGGAGCCAGGCTTGCAAGGCGGCGTTGGAAAGCGTTCGAGTAGACAAGTCACTATCATCGGGATACTAGGGGGGGGTGCGTTTGGGGGGGATTGCCCCCCTGACCGATAGCTCGGGAACGGCTGATCGGAGCCAGGCTTGCAAGGCGGCGTTGGAAAGCGTTCGAGTAGACAAGTCACTATCATCGGGATACTAGGGGAAGGGGGTGCGTTTGGGGGGATTGCCCCCCTTGCCGATAGCTCGGGAACGGCTGATCTGAGCCAGGCTTGCAAGGCGGGGTTGGAAAGCGTTCGAGTAGACAAGCCTAATTACTTAAATAGTAACGCATACTATCATCGGGATACTGGGTGGGGGGGGGGCGTGTGTGTGTGTGTGGGGGGGGGGTGTTGCCCTTGACCGATAGCTCGGGAACGGCTGATCGGGGCCAGGCTTGCAAGGCGGCGTTGGAAAGCGTTCAAGTAGACAAGTCATGGCTCCGATCAGCCGTTCCCGAGCTATCGGGAAGGGGGGCAATCCCCCCTACGCCCCCCCAGTATCCCGATGAAAGTTTGCATTACTAATTAGGCTTGTCTACTCGACCGCTTTCCAACGCCGCCTTGCAAGCCTGGCTCCGATCAGCCGTTCCGGAGCTATCGGCAAGGGGGGCAATCCCCCCTACGCCCCCCCCCCCCCAGTATCCCGATGATAGTTTGCAAATTACTAATTAGGCTTGCCTACTCGACCGCTTTCCAACGCCGCCTTGCAAGTCTGGCTCCGATCAGCCGTTCCCGAGCTATCGGCAAGGGGGGCAATCCCCCCCTACGCCCCCCCGTATCCCGATGATAGTTTGCATTACTAATCAGGCTTGTCTACTCGACCGCTTTCCAACGCCGCCTTGCAAGCCTGGCTCCGATCAGCCGTTCCCGAGCTATCGGCAAGGGAGGCAATCCCCCCTACGCCCCCCCCCCCCACCCAGTATCCCGATGATAGTTTGCATTACTAATTAGGCTTGTCTACTCGACCGCTTTCCAACGCCGCCTTTCAAGCCTGGCTCCGATCAGCCGTTCCGGAGCTATCGGCAGGGGGGCAATCCCCCCTACGCCCCCCCCCCCCCAGTATCCCGATGATAGTTTGCAAATTACTAATTAGGCTTGTCTACTCGACCGCTTTCCAACGCCGCCTTGCAAGCCTGGCTCCGATCAGCCGTTCCCGAGCTATCGGCAAGGGGGGCAATCCCCCCTACGCCCCCCCCCCCCAGTATCCCGATGATAGTTTGCATTACTAATTAGGCTTGTCTACTCGACCGCTTTCCAACGCCGCCTTGCAAGCCTGGCTCCGATCAGCCGTTCCCGAGCTATCGGCAAGGGGGGCAATCCCCCCCTACGCCCCCCCCCAGTATCCCGATGATAGTTTGCATTACTAATTAGGCTTGTCTACTCGACCGCTTTCCAACGCCGCCTTGCAAGCCTGGCTCCGTTCAGCCGTTCCCGAGCTATCGGCAAGGGGGGCAATCCCCCCCCCCCCAAACGCCCCCCCCCCCGCCAGCTCAGAAAAAAACTGACTCCGTTTTTGAAATCACCGCTATGTGATTACCCTATATAGCGACTTGGTAGAAATATCTCTAGACCTGACGAATCTAGCGACTTTTCCCAAACCGGTGGCAGCATGTGAGACGCCTGCTATAACAATACCGGTTTTGGCCATGCCGAGGCTCTGTTCTTTTTACAAGCACAGTTTGGTGGCCATTTTTTATCAGGGTGGTAGGAGATCTGCATGAAAATTACCATGCAATGTCCTCCAATTTAATAATGTTTGTGTATTGTGTATATAGTATCAAGTTTGTACCTATGCATTTTCAACTCCACCTTTGAGAGAAATTAGCAGTTTATATGCTATTCCTTAAGTGATCATGAATGGTTATGCCAAAAACACTTCATATCTCAGATTTTGAATTAGAGCATGACAAAATTACCTAAGTCATTATTAACATTGTGCATAAACGTGTGTGTATTATTTCAGATATTGAAGCCCAAATACGGGAGTTGCAAAACAAGAAGAAAGGTCTAAATGAGGTTGCTGAGAAGGAAAAAGAAAGAGTATCTCTTGGGAACACAGGATTCTTTGACCAAGAAATTTATGGAGGATCTGGCAAGTTTGAAGGCTATGTAACATCAATTGCACCCAATGAGGTTGATGATGTAAGTATTGGGGTTTGACAAATGTAACTTTGCAAAGTTGTCTGGCAGATAAGACAGATTTTGATTTTGTATGAAAAGAAACACACCTGGTACCTAAAAGTGATGCGTATATCAGTTAATTTGATTTTATTTCAAAGGACATGCTAATTAAAAGGTACTTTGTTATAACTTACTACTTTTTGGATTTAGCAAAATTGAAAAGTTGTTCTTAAGCGTTTGCCTTGCAATGTAACTATATGCCATGTTTAACATTGAGCTATTTTCAGGAGTTTATTTTGCTAAGTGTGCTGTTATTCCTTTGCTCTACCTATACCTGTTGCACTGTCTTACAGGCTGATGATGAGGAGCCAACCTACGGCCAGAACAAGCGCAGCTTCAATGCTCCAGCTGCTCTTCTCAATGATATTCCTCAGGTATGGATGCTGCTTTAGTTATGTGTAAAATGTACTGTTGGTTTGTAGCACATTTATATAGGCAGAGTTTTGCAATCATCTGTTAGGCTGGTAAAGATTGATGCTGTGATGTTTCTCATCATTTTTAGGTCTCATGATGATTCAGCTAATGTTGAATGTCCATTATGACATATGCATTGTGACAGTTAAGTATGACAATGTTCATTATGGCATAGTTTCACTTATCTAATCATCAGCCACGTTTCTGTGGCTAGACTGAACTGATCCTTGTTTTGAGCTGTTTTAATTGTGTCATGTTTGTCATTGTAAGAACTGTAAGAAGCAATTATGGCCACTATTTTTTGTTCTGATTTGTCATCTAACCCTTTTTATTTCATCAAGGTTTAATCGCTATAGTGCATCAATCTTTCTTTTTAAATGAGCCAGGTCAGTCATATGTGCACTTTTGCTCGCCAGTGCCTCTGATTATGGTCGCAGTTGACCCACCCATAAACCTGTGTCTGTGTGCGCGCCCGGCAGGCGGAGCAGGACTATGACCCGTTCGCCGACCGGCGGCGGCCCACCATCGCTGACCGGGAGGACGAGTACCGCGCCCGCCGCCGGCAGATGGTCATCTCGCCGGAGCGACTCGACCCGTTTGCTGACGGTCAGTGGCGCCCCTCGCCCGGCCCGCTCGCGCGCCCTCCCCGCAGCGGAGAGACGGCCGGCCTCACCGGTCGCTCCCCGCCTCCGAGTGTGTGCTGGTGGGCTGTGTGGGAGGGGGTACTGCTCAGTGGGTGCCCAGACGTGTTGGGTGGGCGGGTTGCCGATAGGCCCGCCTCTGCGGTGTGTACACGCCGCTACAATGTCACTGTGTGGGGGAGGTCGTCGGCCGGCCCGGGCGGGCCACTCGTGTGCCCGGAGACTGGGCGGCAGTCAGACTGGCCTAGCTAAAGCTGCGATGGTGAATGTAGCATACATAAAAATTACTACATAGACAGACCTGCTTTCATGGCACATCCGGCTGCTAGACATGGAAGCATATAAGATAAGTCAATTTAAGCATTTGTAGATAAATGGACAAATAACTGCACAATAATTCTGCTCATCCTATCATTTTTGTTACTTGCTTCCCAACTGTCTTCTTCTGAGTGAATGAAGAGGGATGTCACATCTAACGTCTATTGTCATTTTTTCACCAATGTACAGACTTCAGTAAACATAAACAATTGCTCGCCAGTACATACCGGCGGATAAAGCAGTGTGACGATCTGAGGTCTGTGCACGACTGCCCAGTCTCCGAGCGCAGCGGCGGCGGCCCGGCCGGCGGGTGGGGCGGTGTGGGGGGTGGCCGAAACTCCACCTGAACTAACGGATCTCAATTCTCGTCGCGCGTCTTCGTCTGAGACGACGACGCACCAGGCGACGAGGCCTCCCTGCCAGAGCCACTGCAGCCGCCGAGCGAGATGAGAGAAAGAGCGAGAGAGAGGGTGTGCACAGGGCGGCCGGTACCGCCCGGTCGGAGGTGCCGCGGTCGGCAGTGCCGCGCGCCTATCGTACTCAGTGTCGGGGACCGCCGCTCGGGCGGATCCCGTTGGCTTCGGAACGGCGGGCGGGCGGGCGGTCAGCCGGGGGTCTCTGCGGGCCAGATATGAATTATCAAACCTGACGACATCGTCTCTTGTCGATCAGGTAGTGCTCTCTAATAAATAGACTTCAGTCTAGTCGATACCTAATCATTTTTTTTAAGCGCTAGATTTGTCGTCAGTTTGATGCTGTTCGGCTGTCCGCACACAGAATAAAAAGGTAACAAACAAGACATCTCTAATAATGAATAGTCAGTTTTCTCCCCACGGCAGTTCTTATCCGCGCGATATTAGCATCATACTTTATCACAACTACTTTTGTTTTATTTTAGCTCCTACTAAAATCATTTATAGTTCGGATTATCTGGCAGTATTTCGCATGCCCAGTGTTTCATTTAATTGTTCTTTTGAGAGGTAATTGCGAAACTTTCGAGCCCTGCTAATTCGAGACTTGAATTGCGAAACCGGCTATTTGGTTTTTGCCTCATCGGACATAGGGGAGAGTGGGGTAATTTGGCCGCTTTTTTTAGAAAACGATGTAACTAAAAATCGACAACACATTTCTGCATTTTCTCAACCCTGACAGGTGTGGCATACATTTTACTTTCTTGGACAGTAAACTTGAAATGATTGAGTAACTACTAATATTGAAATTGTGGCGTATTACAAAGGTCTGCAAAGCGGCCAAATTGCCCCACTAGCAGGGTTATTTGGCCGGGGGTGTGGGGCAATTTGGCCGGTGTTAGTTTGAGGCCATGATTTTTGTTATAGGCGAGTCAGCTTCACATTCAGCAATGACGCGTGTCCTACGACGCATTTGAAGCATTTTGGAGGTTGACTCAGCCGTCACAGGGGTCGAAAATAGTCAAAATAGCGGCTCTAGATGCGATGACAGTTTTTACGAATAACTTTTAAAGTAATCAAGCTAGGCCAAAACTAAAATTACCATCGTAATTCTCTCGTCATTCCGCATCGAAACATGTATGTGTTGACCTCGAGAGGTCAAGGTCAAAGGTTGGCTTCAGGTCACGTTCCCTCAGGTCGCTTGACCTCAAGGTTACGTGAGTTCAAGGTCATCATGTATATCATTCGATGCGCCTTGACTAGCTGAACACAATGAGACCATTTGCGCGGCTGTATCTTTTTTCTGTAAGTATTTATTAGCAAAAAAGCGTTAGGTAACCTTTGATGACGTCACATGCCCTTACAGCTGTCCAATAGGAAATATGGCATCAAGGTAGTCAAAGTTGGTCATGAATTATGTCTTTTATGGTATAATTGACCATGACAACTCGGCAGTCCCAGCACAGTGACTCTGAGCGCACCGGCCAAGTTGCCCCGCTAGTCCCGGCCAAATAACCCCACATTGCCATTCTGAAAATTTTTGTTTATAAAGTCGACATGGCTGTACAGAACTAGATGAAATTGCTCTTGGAACCGCTGAACACCCTCAAAAATGGCGCTATAATGTTGGAATTCGTTTACAGCCCAAGTACTACATGTTATGCAAATTTTTAAACGGAAGTAAAAGTTACCATTTTCTAACGTAATTCACCTTTTATTAATTTTGAATAAAACTAAGAGGGGGAAAGTTTTGACATTTGTTCTCGAGTTAGTTCTGCCGATGACAAATGAATAGAGACTAAAGTTATTTTCTTCACTTTTATCAGCTTTCGTACAGGTGGGGGCGGCCAATTTACACCACCGGCCAAATTACCCCACTCTCCCCTACTTGCCCATGGCTTTTGAGCTTTCAACTGAAGTTAAAGTGAAACCCGAACTAATCAGGTGACGATCAATCATAATGCATTTTTTGGCACTTACTCTCCCATATTCTCCTATTTTTACTGTCCGGATTATTTTAGCATTTACTTTGCTGCCTTACTTTATTTCTGAGAGTACCGTGCTAGGACTGACGTAAGTCTGACCTCACCGGTCCTATGTGACCGGTCAGCCGAACAGTACCAGACTCGCTGGCAGAAACAGAGGCACGGCTGACTGCGCGTCCGTCCCGGCCGTCCTTCCTAGTTCATTACCTCAGCCGTAACTGTCCGTCTCAAGGGGCGGATTTATAGCGCGCGGACCGTGTCGGTGGGCTGGGGACTACTACTGAGCAGAAACCACTGATAATCAGAGATTATTTCCAGGCAGTGACTACGGGCTCATCCGAACCTGATGTGAGTCGCGACCACGTACGTATGGGGAGCTGCCCGGCCAGCCTGGCCACTACACATGTTAGGCGCACTCGGTTTAATTACCTCTACATAGTCGATTTAGTATCCCTTAGATTCATCCAATGTAACGTTACTTGACATATTTTTTTGCCCTCTGACTTAATTTCCATGATATCCCATATATTCAATTGTTATTGCTGTGCAATGCTAGTAGGTTCCTTGTTGAGTTTGCGGCAATGCCGGTAACCATTCACAGGCAGCGACCATTTCCCCGTGTGGGTGAGTGCATTTTTGCTCGCTGTCTTTCTCTGCTCAGTGATCTGGCCGGCCCGGACCGGCACGCGGCGGCTGTGCCGTGTCGCCGGCCCGGGCGGGTGCGGGGAGTGTGTGGTCAGGCTGGGGGTGGTCTGAGCTCTGTGGCGGCCCTGCGCGTGTCCTACCGATCCCTACCACCGTCGCTGACCGTCGGCCGTTGGCTGCGTGTGCTGCGTGTTCTAGGTGGCAAAACTCCCGATGTGGGCGCCCGAGGCTACCAGCAGATCATGCGCGAGCAGCAGCTGCGCGGCGAGGAGGCGGAGGTGAGGACCGACAGAGGTCGACGGTGGTCTGGGATGGAATAGATGAGGGATCACATGTGATAGCTTGTATATGAGTTGCTGATTGATAGTTGGGATGTTTGACGAATACATCGTTAGTGTACTACGGTACATGCTACAGCTGATGTATTCGCTCGACACTGATATCTGCCAAAATATGTGTACCTACGTTTTACCACGAGACATTTTATTGCTAGACATTCATTTATTGCTGCAACTTAGTACCCAGCTAAACAAGACTCATAACTGAATGCAAAAAATTTAACTCAATTAAAAAACGTTTTCCTCAGTGTCACTCTCAACCTTTCTGTCGATTGTCCCACTCGTTCAGGACTGCCATACATTGCACCCGTCCGTTGACCAGACCTGCCCCGTCTGTCCGTGCTCTCAGATGCGGCGGCGGATGCAGGACAAGGCAAAGGATGGCACGCTGCGCGGGGTCGCCTCCAATGGCGACTCGACTGCGGCGGCGGCCGGACCGCGGCCCACGCCCCGCAAACGCGGCCGCTGGGACGTCACCTCTGACGACGGGCCCAAAGTGAAGAAGACGGCCACAGAGGATGGCGCCGCCGCAGCGGTGAGTCGCGGGGATTCGTGCCATAGACGGGACAACAGGATGTAACCACAAAGAAGGCTCATACGGAATGCGATGAGGGAAGAGTCGAAAGAGCTAGACTCTGCTGTTATGTTTTGAGTGAGCGTTCAGAAGTAGAGTATTGATGCACATAAAAGGAATTCGGTTACTGTGGAGTAGGTGCGAATTGTGAACTGATAACGTATGCTGCATGATATGAAACCGTATGGTTTGGTTTGTGCGGCCATTGATGCTACTCGCTGTTGTTTCGGCCGAATGGACAGCAAAACGTTTTTATCTCTACTCTCAGCTGTATTTCTCTACTAGCCTGGTCATGCTGTTGCGTTGCATAAATTAGACCATAAATGTCATCATTAGGCGTCCATGTTCTGCGTCTATCCCTTCCCCCTCTAACCCTGTGCTCACCGTCGTCCGCAGACGCCGGTGATCGGCCAGTGGGCGGAGACGCCCGGTCGTCCGTCGGGCGGCGAGACGCCCAGCGCCACGCCGTCGGCCCGCCAGATGTGGGACGCCACGCCCGGCCACGCCACGCCCGGCCGCGAAACGCCCGCCCACGGCGACAAGGCCACGCCCTCGGCTCGGCGCAACCGCTGGGACGAGACGCCCAAAACGGACAGAGGCGGTCAGTGGGCGACCAGCGCGACATTGGAGAACCTTTATTCGTCAGTTGACTGATAGCTACGAATTGCCAGAGCCTTAGATTGGAAGTTTGTATCAGTTAAATGACAACATCACAATTTATACTTAATAACAAAATATATTTTCGCAGATATCTATATGATCACTCTATGAATCTAAGCGTTTTGTTGTATTTTCATAAGACGAGCGGCGTGTCTCACTCTTTCACCGTCCTCTCTGACCGCTGTCGCCGTCCTCTGACCTCCCCCGTGCCCGCCCCGCAGAGACGCCCGGCCAGAACAGCGGCTGGGCGGAGACGCCGCGCACGGACCGCACCGGCGGCGTGGACCTCATCCAGGAGACGCCCACGCCGTCGGCGTCGAAGCGCCGCTCGCGCTGGGACGAGACGCCCGCCAACCAGACGCCCAGCATGACGCCCACCATGACGCCCGGCGGGATGACGCCCAGGTGAGTGGCCGCGGCTGATAGTGCCCGGCCGCTCGGTACCAGACTAGGCTCTCGAGCAGATTCACTGACCTGGTGGTGATTGATGCTGGTGCTGGCGCCAGAATATGACCTGACCCAGGCGCACACTGACCTGGTGTGATGAAATCTGATTGATTAGAACAATGTAATTTTAACGACTACCTTTCTATGTTCGACCCTCCACCTTTTTTCAAAACTAGCAAATGCTTATTTCATTTGATCGTGATAGGACTGTCATGCACCTTGCTCACATTTCTTCACTCCCTTTTTTCTTTTCGCCTTGTTCACACTTCTACGTCACTGCATCTGGTAATTTACTGATCCGCTCTGTGCCCCTGCAGCATGACGCCGGGCGGGATGACGCCCTCGATGACGCCCGGCATGCTGACGCCGGGCGGCACCACACCCACCGGCGCCAAGGCGATGGGCATGGCCACGCCCACACCGGGCCACCTGGCCGCCATGACGCCCGAACAGATGCAGGCGTACCGGTGGGAGCGCGAGATCGACGAGCGGAACCGGCCGCTGTCCGATGACGAGCTGGACACCATGTTCCCGCCCGGCTACAAGGTGCTTCAGCCGCCGGCAGGTGCGTAAGGATGGGAAAGGGGGTTACATTGGTAATATAAGTCGCAGAGTTTCTAAAGCACGAATCACTATCAGTTTGTCGTAATTATTCTGTTCGATTTTAACTGCTGTGCTTTCCATCCTGACTGACGCGAGCCCCGACCTCATTCTGACACATCTTTCGCATTTTCACGCCGCAGGTTACGTGCCGATCCGGACCCCGGCGCGCCGGCTGACGGCTACCCCGACGCCGCTGGCCGGTAACGCCACACCGGTCGGGTTTTTCATGCAGAAGGAGGGACAGACCCCCGCCTTCCAGGACACGCAGCCCAAGGGCAACCTGCCCTTCCTGAAACCCGAGGACGCGCAGTACTTCGACAAACTGCTGGTCAGTTAGGGTGACGCCTGCAGTAATTGATGGTTGGTGGTCGGTGCAGTGGTTATGAAAATGAGGTGAATTAAGAGGAAGGGAATCATAGAAGAAGCTGCTTTTTAAAACGAAGTTGACCTGTTTGTGTACTGCTTGTATTACCAAAGTAAAATTTGTCCTCATCAATTTCTTTTGAGCTGTTATTGTGCTTACTTTTCTGGTATTCAAAGACTTGATATTCATTCTTCACTCGACAGCAGCTAAAACATCCCTACCGTTGGCACCCGAGTTGCAGCTATGCTCCCCTCCTTCACGCGCACGCTAACTCTGTCGTTTTTCCGCCCGCGTCTCGTCAGGTGGATGTGGATGAGGAAGCTCTCGGTCCCGAGGAGCAGAAGGAGCGCAAGATCATGAAACTCCTGCTCAAGATCAAGAACGGCACGCCGCCGATGCGCAAGGCGGCGCTGCGCCAGATCACGGACAAGGCACGCGAGCTGGGCGCCGGGCCGCTGTTCAACCAGATCCTGCCGCTGCTCATGTCGCCCACCCTGGAGGACCAGGAGCGCCATCTGCTGGTCAAGGTCATCGACCGGGTGCTCTACAAGCTGGACGACCTGGTGCGGCCCTACGTGCACAAGGTCAGTAGACAGTGGGGCGGCGGGGATGGTCTGGGGAGGTGGTGGCTGATTGTGGCTGGTTTCTTGGGATGAGAAAGCTGTTGCCGCTCTCAATGTTTGGCGTGGGCTCAGTACAATGTGTTATTGCAGAAGAAATGGTGGGCACTGCCTTGGACGACTGAGAAATTACAGGTCTTTGACTTTTATACGGCGTTCTTTTTCCGTCTTGTTTGTATCCTCGCGGCTGCAGTCTGCTTGGTTGTTCTCGGTATTTTATTGACATGTGCTTGCTTGCCTTGCGAATTACTGACCGTCCTTCCTTCCCGCCGTCAGATTCTGGTGGTGATTGAGCCGCTGCTCATCGACGAGGACTACTACGCCCGTGTCGAGGGCCGCGAGATCATCTCCAACCTGGCCAAGGCGGCCGGCCTCGCCACCATGATTTCCACAATGAGACCCGACATCGACAACATCGACGAGTGAGTGTGCGGTGGTCGGTCATCTTTATATTTTCCATTGCCGTGTGAGACTGTATCATTGTTGCGTTTGAATGTAAGCTCTTAATTTCTCTTGATGTTCGTTTATAATATGGATTTTCGATATTCTTGAACCTTTCTTACGAAAGTCAATTTCTATTGAGGCTGCTTCAATTTTCATTGCGCCATCGCTTGTGTCAATGATGGATGGTTCAACGTGGTTCCAATTGAATGACCTATCCTTCGTTCCCCGTACCCGTGCTAACCGCCCTCCTTTATTCAGGTATGTGCGTAACACCACGGCGCGCGCGTTCGCGGTGGTGGCCTCTGCGCTGGGCATCCCGTCGCTGCTGCCCTTCCTGAAGGCGGTCTGCCGCAGCAAGAAGTCGTGGCAGGCGCGCCACACGGGCATCAAGATCATCCAGCAGGTGGCCATTCTGATGGGCTGCGCCATCCTGCCGCACCTGCGCAGCCTGGTGGAGATCATTGAACACGGTAAGACGGCGCGGTCATTGCTAGGGTTTGTTGGTGGGGCTCGGCGTCTAGGTGACTGGTGAGAGGGGGAGGGGGACCGCTGATTAAAGTCGTTAGTGGAAATAAGACGTACTGGGTCTGGGACGTACTTACTTAATGAGTTGTAATTTATTCGGCGGGTTGATTTGGTCGCGGGTAAGAGGGCGATGAGTATCTGGCGGTAATGAGTTCGCGGGCGCCGGCGTCTGTTCAGGCATCGTATTCATCCATCTGGTCCCTCGGGCACCTCGTGTTCGCCGTTGCGCCCTGTGTCTGTTCCGCCCTGTTCTGACGGCCCATTGCGCGCCGGTCGTCCCCAGGTCTGGTGGACGAGCAGCAGAAGGTGCGCACCATCACCGCCCTGGCGCTGGCCGCCCTCTCCGAGGCCTCCACGCCCTACGGCATCGAGTCGTTCGATACGGTGCTGAAGCCGCTGTGGAAGGGTATCCGCACGCACCGCGGTAAGGGTCTGGCTGCCTTCCTGAAGGCGATCGGCTACCTGATCCCGCTGATGGACGCCGAATACGCCAACTACTACACCCGAGAGGTGATGCTCATCTTGATCCGAGAGTTCCAGTCGCCCGACGAGGAGATGAAGAAGATCGTGCTGAAGGTGGTGAAGCAGTGCTGCGCCACGGACGGTGTGGAGCCGCAGTACATCAAAGACGAGATCCTGCCGCACTTCTTCAAACACTTCTGGAACCACCGGATGGCGCTGGACCGGCGCAACTACCGGCAGCTGGTCGACACCACGGTCGAGATCGCCAACAAGGTCGGGGCCTCCGAGATCATCAACCGCATCGTGGACGACCTGAAGGACGAGAACGAGCAGTACCGCAAGATGGTGATGGAGAGCATCGAGAAGGTGATGGGCAACCTGGGCGCGGCCGACATCGACTCGCGGCTCGAGGAGCAGCTCATCGACGGCATCCTGTACGCCTTCCAGGAGCAGACCACAGAGGTGAGTGAAGATAGCAGAGTAACAACTGGGATGAAACGCAGGCACACAGCTTTCGCTCGTCTCGGGAGGGAGGCTGTCTTTCGGTCGAGTCTAAAAGCCGATGACTGACGGCTGTTTAAGCAGTTTTAACTTTTTTAAAACAGATCCCAGCCCAGTACGAAAGAATGCCTTACATTGATGAATAGAGGCCGGTCGACATGTATCTGCTTTCTTCTGTCCTGGCAACGGTGTATTCGGTGATATATCCAGCTGTGCCCCGTCTGATCTTATCCCACTCTCTTTCCCTCAGGACACTGTGATGCTGAACGGTTTCGGTACGATCGTGAACGCGCTGGGGAAGCGTGTGAAGCCGTACCTGCCGCAGATCTGCGGTACCATCCTGTGGCGACTCAATAACAAGTCAGCCAAGGTGCGACAGCAGGCGGCTGACCTCATCTCAAAGATCGCCTTCGTCATGAAGACCTGTCAGGAGGTGAGCTAGATTAGAGAGGTGGCGTTGATTGGAGGGAGGACGGGGCTAACGGACAGAATCATGTGTATACCATGCTTCATGAGATGCTGGATAGGTTATGTGGCGTGCTTTTTTAGTTTATTGTTGATGGATAACTTTTCTGATGATCTTTTTTCGTCTTCGTACCAATGCATTGAGTCGCTGAATCACTAGCAAGCTAGCTGTAAAGCTATTTCCTGACATCCCGAATCTGTCTGGCAGTACACCGTTCAGTGTTCATGGTAGACTGTCATTTAGTAGACTATTTTGTCGGCCCGTGTTGACGCGCCGTCGTGTGGCCGCCGTGTTCCAGGAGAAGCTGATGGGTCACCTGGGTGTCGTGCTGTACGAGTACCTGGGAGAGGAGTACCCTGAGGTACTCGGATCCATCCTCGGCGCACTCAAAGCCATCGTCAACGTCATCGGCATGACCAAGATGACGCCGCCCATCAAGGACCTGCTGCCCCGGCTGACGCCAATCCTGAAGAACAGACACGAGAAGGTGCGTGGGCGAACGGCCGGGCGTGGAAAGGCCGTGTCGGTTGCTTATAATGGCACACAACTTTTGGGGCTTGAGCGTGATTATTACCGGTGTTGCCCAGCGCTTCACCGGAATGGCATTTGGTAGCTTATGAATGCTGTGACAGGGTGTGCTGACCACAAACAAACGGTATTGTTTGTATAATGCAGATATCCCGATACGTTCCTCAGCTGTCCGCTGCAGTTCTGTGCCTGTCTCCGCTAACCAGCGCTCTCCGCGCCTTCCGTGCACAGGTGCAGGAGAACTGTATCGACCTGGTGGGCCGGATTGCCGACCGCGGACCCGAGTACGTCTCAGCACGAGAGTGGATGCGCATCTGCTTCGAGCTGCTCGAGCTGCTCAAGGCGCACAAGAAGGCCATCCGACGAGCCACCGTCAACACGTTCGGCTACATCGCCAAGGCCATCGGGTGAGCGACGGAGGACGGTGGGCTAGTGATACAGCGGGTGCTGGGTCGAAATGGGCCAGGTGGGAAGATAAAGACGGTTTGGTGAGAAACATGAACTTCTCGCACTACTTTTTTTCAACCTATGTCGGATTTGGCCATGAATGTATCTTGAGATGCAAACGTGGTCTACTTATTGCTCAATGTTCACCGTTATCGTGGACATGCTCGTTAGACTAATGTCCACTTAAATATTTTAGTGATGCTTATTACGTACACAAGTTGCTCAATGTTTTAGCTCTCAGTGTCCATTAGTTGTTCTTTTACCGGTTCTCTATCGTAAACATCACTAAACCTTATGACTACTCGGTGGTGTTGAATGGTCGCGTCGACACCTCCTGACCGTCTTCTCCGCCTCTCCCGGGCAGCCCTCACGACGTGCTGGCCACACTGCTGAACAACCTGAAGGTGCAGGAGCGCCAGAACCGCGTGTGCACCACAGTGGCCATCGCCATCGTGGCCGAGACGTGCTCGCCGTTCACCGTGCTGCCGGGCCTGATGAACGAGTACCGCGTGCCCGAGCTGAACGTGCAGAACGGCGTGCTCAAGTCGCTCTCCTTCCTCTTCGAGTACATCGGAGAGATGGGCAAGGACTATATCTACGCGGTGACGCCGCTCTTTGAGGACGCCCTGATGGACCGGTTAGTGTCGGAAGGGAAGGGAGGGGATTGGGTCGGTGCGCGAAACGGTGCGAAGTGCGGGACACTGGCAGGGACAGGTTCACAAACTTTCTAGTGCGGTACTTATTACTAGATTTTATTCTGACAGATTTTGGTGTTGATTGGTGCCTTGCACCATCGTGGCTGTCCCCTGCTGACCCCCCCCCCTCCCCCAGGGACCTGGTGCACCGGCAGACCTCGTGCGCCGCCATCAAACACATGGCGCTGGGCGTGTACGGCTTTGGCTGCGAGGACGCGCTCATCCACCTGCTCAACAACGTCTGGCCCAACATCTTCGAGACGTCTCCCATCTGGTGCAGGCCTTCATGGACGCCGTGGAGGGCATGCGCGTCTCGCTGGGACCGCAGAAGATGCTCCAGTACTGTCTGCAGGTGAGCAGTGAGCAGTGGCAGGAGGCAGGAGTGCTGTGACTAGTGGACTGGCCAGTCTGCAGTGGGAGCTGGCGGCAAGCGTAGCTTCGCTTGAGAGTTGAAGTCCAGTGCGTGAAGCTGTTTTTTTTTCTTCCGTAAGACAATCTGCGGCGCGGCCAAACTTAGCTTTGAATGCATCTATGATATCGGAATGAAATCAGAGCACAATATTTTATCAACTACTTTTTGCGCCGAATAGTTTTGTAGTGTTTTTTATCTTCACCTTCCCCGAGCTGGCTGTCCTTGTGAGTTTCCACCCACTGACCACCCTGCCCGTGTCTGCAGGGTCTGTTCCACCCTGCTCGGAAGGTACGAGACGTCTACTGGAAGGTGTACAACACGCTCTACATCGGCGGGCAGGACGCACTGGTGGCCGGCTACCCGCGCGTCACGGCTGCCAAAAACAACTACATCCGACACGAGCTCGACTACGTGCTCTGAGTGACGCGGCCCGCGCGCTCTCTCTCTCGGCCGTGACGAGTGTGACGTGTGTGTGTGGTACCGGCGCCCGGCGGACGCTGAGCCAATGTGTGAGCAGTCTGAGCGGTGTGACGCAGTCTTCTGTGTGCGAGGTAGAATGGTTTGTCGTGGATGTATGCCTGATGTGTATTCTTTGCGCATGGGTCAGGCGGGCGAGTCGGCCCCATCCTGTGTGTGAGCGTCTTGTTTCCGTTCCCTTTTCTGAGTGAGCCAGGCTAGTGATGTGGGTGTCTGCGCGATCCAGGCGATGCGCTGGTTCATTCTGCGTGAGAGCCTGAGTGGAGCGTCTGTGGACGTCATTGTGGCTGGCGCGGCGGCAGTGGGTAGCGAGTGTCACTCCGGCCGATAGAGATGTCAGTATTTGTGATGATCTGTTTTACGGCTCTCTTTCCTGATAAGTCTAGGACCCAAGCGGCACCACCACCACATTCATACGCAACACATGTACATACGGACGTATAATATTCAGTATAAGTGCTGAGAATAAACCCAACAGTAAAATACCTTTGTGAGATGTCTGGCGGCGGTCCGCCCTGTGGTGCGGTCTGAGTGGGGCACGATGCCAGAACACAGCCCGTCGTAAGCACCCGACTATTGCATCTCTGCTTACATTGCACAGAGTCGTGGCTAACCAAAATAAACTAATGGATGGCAAGATTAAAACAATCGCAGTAGCGCGGCGGACGCACGTCGATAAAAGTTCGTGAGGAAACCGGCAAAACGAAGATGATATAAGTCTGACGATAGGGAAAATGGCAGAAGCGAGATAACTAAATTAAAACGAAAACTTGGTCGCGTACACCGCATGAACAGCCCTAAACGTCACAAAGAAGTGAACACCCGTATGGCGGCGCACCCCAAATGAAACAGCCTTCCATAAAACACTTCTCCCTGGTCGATAAAACACGCTAGTAGCGCTGCCGCCGCCCCGCCGGGGTCCCGCGCGGCTCTGACTCGCGCGCTCGTCCGCCCAGATCCCTGAGGGGGCGGCGTGGCGCGTGCCGCCGCACACCGCGGCGAGCCGCCCGAGCACAGCGCGGGCGGGGCCGGTCCGCGGCGAGCGGGCCCCACCGAGCGGACGTCAGCTGGGGGCGTCCTCTGCCGGCACCTTGTGGCCCAGCGGCGGCCAGGTCGGGTCGGCCTCCACCTCCTGCAGGACCAGCTTGTAGCGGTTCTTGGGGCCCTTCTTGCAGCCGCACGGCCGGGTGACCCGTTTGAACCACTCGGCGCCGAACACGAACTTCTGCGGGCGCACGGGGTTGGGGGAGGAACGGCCGTCAGTGGACAGCGGTCTTAAACATCGCATACTTGTACTACCTCAGGATATTCGGGATACTACCCAATCAGATTGACTAGCACGTCTCATTCCGTATCGTCCCAGTAAAGGCCGCCGTCCACTGCGACGGAATTCCGTCCGGAGTCCGTCAGGAATGTCGCCGCACGCTGACCGCATCCGGACCGCAGACGGAAAGCTCACGGACACTTGCTAACACTTTGTGAAGAGCAATTATCAGTTATTACAAAAGAAAATATAGCAATTTACTAGCATAACATAGTGCTGCCATGTCAAGGAAAATTTGTTTACTTACTTCATCTTGAAAGAGTTGAAATTATTTCTTAAATTTGCAATTGAAAACTCGAAGACGGAAGACTGTACCTGTCCGCGTCCGTTCCGCCTGCGTTCTCCGCAGAAAAGTTCAACATGTCGGACTTTGTTATTTCGTTTCCGTAGCAACCGCTTCCGAAACGCTCGCGGAGAGCTGACGGAAAATCAACAGCTGATTGCCGTTCGGATGCGGTCCGCACGGAGCGCACATGATTTCCGTACGGACCGGATGCGCCCATAGGGTTCTGTGTTAAATTCCGTACGGATCGCACGGGTTCCGCACAGTGGACGGCGGCCTCAACGGTCTGCCTACCTCCAGTGAGACAGCGCAAGGACGCAGTGTCCGGCTCACGGCTGTCTCCTTACCTCCAGTGACAGTGCCAGGACGCAGTGTCTTCTTACCTCCAGTGACAGGCGGCTGACAGCGCCAGGACGCAGTGTCTCCTTACCTCCAGTGACAGGGCCAGGACGCAGTGTCTCCTTACCTCCAGTGACAGCGCCAGGACGCAGTGTCTCCTTACCTCCAGTGACAGCGCCAGGACGCAGTGTCTGTCTCACGGCTGTCTCCTTACCTCCAGTGACAGCGCCAGGACGCAGTGTCCGGCTCACGGCTGTCTCCTTACCTCCACTGACAGCGCCAGGACGCAGTGTCTCCTTACCTCCAGTGACAGCGCGAGGACGCAGTGGCCGGCTCACGGCTGTCTCCTTACCTCCAGTGACAGCGCCAGGACGCAGTGCCCGGCTCACGGCTGTCTCCTTACCTCCAGTGACAGTGCCAGGACGCAGTGGCCGGCTCACGGCTGTCTCCTTACCTCCAGTGCCAGCGCCAGGACGCAGTGCCCGGCTCACGGCTGTCTCCCTACCTCCAGTGACAGTGCCAGGACGCAGTGTCCGGCTAGCTCCCTGTGTTCAGTGACAGCCAGCAGTGTCTCCTTACCTCCAGTGCCAGCGCCAGGACGCAGCGTCTCCTTACCTCCAGTGATGGCGCCAGGACGCAGTCTCACTATCTCCCTACCTCCAGTGACAGCGCCAGGACGCAGTGGCCGGCGGTGACGGCCAGCAGACTGTAGCGCAGCGTCCTGTCCTCGGGCCGCGGCGGCGCCAGGCCGAACCAGGAGACCAGATGCCGCTCGGGCCACAGCACCAGGGTGGTCTGCAGTGCCGACAGCAGCAGCGCGCCCCAGGAACAGGCGGTTGGTGTAGAACGGCCGCCTGAGATGGACCCACGGAACGGACCCGGTCACAGACGGAGCCGGCATCTGCTCTGTTCACTCCAGCTCTCAGCTCTCTAAGATCTCAGCTATCTGCACAGCTCTCAGATCTCAACGCCACACCTGTAAACATCTTGATAACTTTGACTCGCTTTTGAATCATGCGCCTTACAGACGTACAAGGACAATGTTTGAGATACCTGCTTCACAAAATAATGAACGTACAAAAAAGCCATAAAAAACGAAAGCAAAATTCATATCCATCATTCGACTCTCCTTCTGTTAAGCAGCCTCTTTGCTATAGCCTCAAGGTTCGTTCGGACCAGCCGGTCAATCAGTGACAGTCGGGTCTCCGCTCACCTGAAGGGCGGCCCTTGCTGAAGGCGGTCGCCAGGATCAGGTACTGGTAGGAGCTGACGAAGAACACCACCGTGTTCTCCCAGCAGACGACGGTGACGTCGCGGCTGGCGCCCGTCGGCGGCACCGGCTTGAACCACGGCTGCCGCTCCAGCAGATACATGGCGGCCAGCTGGGCGCCGGCCGCCAGACCCATCTGACCAGGGGAGAAGAGCGATCACAGGTCAGCGGGGTATCAGCGGGGGGGGGGGGGCGTCACAGGTCAGCGGGATGGGAGGGACGGTAAATAATATGACATTGCCAGTGTGGAACAGTACCTCCCTGTGTCAGTACGGAACAGCACCCACCTGTGTCGTAGTTTAGTTTAGTTTAGTTTATTTAGCATATCATCCAGGGTAAGATGACCCATTTATAGACAAAGTCATCAGAATAAAAACATGTATGTATATGTGAATATGCACCCCAATGTGGAGTGTGTCAGTATGGAGCAGCTCCCAGTTCCCACATGTGTCAGTATGGAGCAGCACCCACCTGTGTCAGTATGGAGCAGTACTATCTCACCTGTGTCAGTATGGAGCAGATGTGTCAGTATGGAGCAACGTCGGTATCCCACCTGTGTGAGTAATACTCATACTCACTGATACTCACTGACTGTGAGTAATACTCGCTGAGTATGGAGCAGCACCCACCTGTGCAGACATTCAGCAGTACTATCCCAGCAGCTGTGTCAGTATGGAGCGCAGATGTCAGTACGGAGCGGCACCCACCTGTGTCAGTATGGAGCACAGGGTGCCGGCGCCGAGCAGGCTGCCGGCCGGTCGGCGCCGGTGCAGCCGCGACGCCGGCGCCGTGTAGCCCATCAGCACGGCTACGCTGGTGGTGATGACCAGGTCGATGTAGAGGAACTGCAGGTCGCCCAGGTTGCTGTAGTGTTTGTACAGCAGCAGCACCGATACAAACTGCACCAGACTGTAGAGCGCCATGTACTGGAACGTGCCGAAACTGGTGGTGAGGGCGCACCGGCCTCGCGCATCACGGTCGGCACGCACGTGATGTCGGCCACCTTGGAGGTGAACGGTGCCGCCACGGAGGCCTCGGCCTCCGACAGCGAGATGCCCACGTGGGCCGCCTTCAGCGCCTCGCAGTCGTTGGCGCCGTCGCCACACATACCGACCGTGTAGCCCTGGTCCTGCAACGGGAGAGGGGGGGGGAGGGTCAGGGCACAAGACACATGGGTCAAGTCAGACAGGTCAAAAACACAGTCACTCATACCGAGCATATAATCAGTCCTGGTCCTGTGACAAGGACTGACGGACAGCGAGCGGGGGCCAGGCTGGTAGAGTAATCAATCTGGCCAGCTCAGGTCGGATTTATCTGTACCATTAACTCAATCGCGCTAGAAATACGTCCGCTGTAAAAAGTGTTCCACAGCTGTCATCTGCGGAGGGGCCGTTACGATACTCTTCCGACACGCACTGCGTAAGTAGGGTTTGCAAATCAGTTTAATTTCACTCGTAGCCTCTTCCCCCCCCCCCCCCCCCCCCCCCCCCCCCCCCCCCCCCCCCCCCCCCCCCCCCCCCCCCCCCCCCCCCCCCCCCCCCCCCCCCCCCCCCCACCCACCCCCCCCCCCCCCCCCCCCCCCCCCCCCCCCCCCCCCCCCCCACCCCCCCCCCCCCCCCCCCCCCCCCCCCCCCCCCCCCCCCCCCCCCCCCCCCCCCCCCCCCCCCCCACCCCCCCCCCCCCCCCCCCCCCCCCCCCCCCCCCCCCCCCCCCCCCCCCCCCCCCCCCCCCCCCCCCCCCCCCCCCCCCCCCCCCCCCCCCCCCCCCCCCCCCCCCCCCCCCCCCCCCCCCCCCCCCCCCCCCCCCCCCCCCCCCCCCCCCCCCCCCCCCCCCACACACACACCTTACCCGGCCAACTCAGCATCGCCGTACCGACCTGCAGCGTCTCCACCAGCTGAGCCTTCTGTTCGGGCGCCATTCGCGCGAACACGGTGCCCTGGACCACTATCCTGGCCATCAGGCGCGGAAAGTGCTGCTGCAGCACGCGCCACGACCGGCCCGTCACGGCCAGTCGGTAGCTGCCGGCGCCGGTCCACAGCGGTACAGAGACCTGGCGGGGTGAGAGGCAATGTCAGGTCGGTCAGTGTCACAAGCGGATGTCACGAGAACCAGAAGCAGACGTGACGAACTAATAACAGGCAGAGCACCGGGCGACCTGGCAAAAACATGGCAGACAGCACCGGCAGCAATGGCCTGAACACATGACAGATCGAGCATCTTGAGGACCTACAAACACGCCAAACGGAAGGAGCAATTCTAAGAACATCAAAGAACGACTGATCGGCATTGCTTCAGGCACCAAACGCATCATGTAGTCATAAGATGCCACCAACTAAAGATGTGTGCCATTGTTTCGTGTACGGACCAAAGCTATGAACACGGACGGCGGATGCCGATTGACCGTCGAAGCCCACCTCGTCGTCAGCGGAGTGCACCGGGGCGACATCTGCCGCCGCCGTGGTGTACTCCAAGTAAGCGGGCCGCTCGCCAGTCGGCGGGTGCGCGGTGACCACCACAGCGGCCGCCTCGGGCGGAATCATACCGCACTCTCGGGCCACACTCACGGCCGTCAGCAGGTTATCGCCTGGAAACAACAAACACATTACACACACATTCACATGAGCGTGAATAACAGTATAGGCTGGCTGCTGAGTGCGGATATACACCGTCCCTTAAGTTCGTTCTCACATTATATTTGCATGTAAAACAGAGTACATTGCGTTTTGATATATTTACGACCCCTAAATGTGCCCCATTTAATAGGCAAACGAATGAATACATGCTGCGGCATGCCAACCGGCATGTTTGGCTGCATAGCAGGCTTGAAGTTAGCCTAGACTGACTTGACATGCGCCGTGAGCCCCTCGAAGCTGGAACAGCGCTTCGCTTCGACGAGCCTCGATTTCAAAATTCCCAACACATTTTTACTAAATTTGGACCCGATGAGTAGCCTGACATATGATCTTGCCATAAACGCCTACCCCAGTCTTCTGGCACTGCTTTTAAGCTTTGCTTGACCCGTGCACTGATACACTGTCTTGCTTGAAGATGGGTCTACGACCTCCCGGATGCCATTTTCTCCTCCCAAAATTGTTCATACTCGCGGTTCGAATTCAGCTAAAAGGCTGAAACTCCTCCTAGATGTTCTTAGAGAAGCATTCTGCTTCCCAAAACTGTTTCGGGACTACCAACCGCATTCTGGGGAGCGTCTGGACGCCTATAACCCCACAATACCGTGACCATGGCCTTTTGCATCGGAACAAAGCGGGATGAAACGGAGGCCTTCTCCTGCGCCCTAATGGGACCGTTTTGGGGTTTGGACGAGTGTTCCATCTCGAACATGGACTTAGGTAGCCCAGATGACCACATTGATGTCATCGGCCCTCCGGTGTTATAGCCTCAGGCATAACGAAACACATTTTTGGCCACCTTAAGACCTTTTCGACTGTTTTGAGTCCTTCGTTAACCCGCGCCCTGGTGAAAGGGGGGGGGGGTTTTTGCCCCCCCTCCAGACTTTTCGATATATCTCCAGAACCGCTGCGCCGATCGTCACCAAACTTTCAGTACTCTCTCGGGCATCAATTGTACACATTGTGACCAAAAATTTCTCCAAAGGCCATGATAGGTTGTCCGCAAATGACGTCAGAGTGACGTCATGTTCTGCCGTTTTCGGCCCAAAAAAGGTTTCGCGGGCCTATAGCTTTAAAGATACAGAAAAACCTTACAGACATAAAAGGTGTAGAATTATTAGGGCTACAAAACTGCTATCTCGACATTTTGAATTTTTCGAATTTTGACCCCCAAAATAATTTTTATAACATAATTACCGAAACATCAAAAAAAAAATCGAATTTCGAAAAATCCGGAATATCTGTGATAGCCCCTACCGACTTCTATTCACATACCAAATTTTATATCGATAACTCTTTTTTTGGCCAAGTTATAGCGAAAAAACTTCAAAATTGATGACGTCAAATTTCCAAACTCATTTTTTTTTGCAATTCTAGATCACGTAGCGCAAAACAAAGACCACCATTAGACTCGCCGTGACGAGCTGCATCGATTCGAAACCCATTTTATGCAAAAATATCAACTTTAAAATTTGACCTTTTTGACCTGACGTTGACCTGACCTCCACCGGGAAGTGACCTAAACCGTTCCTGATGTTCTTATAACCAACACCATTGAGTTTGAAATGAAAAATTGGCCATAAAACATGCATCACACAGCCCTAGTGAAATTGGGTTAATGTGCTGACCCTTAATGACCTGACCTGTGACCTGACCTGGTATTATCAGTGACCTCTAACAGCAACATATGTACTAAGCAACTGACGCCCTATCGCTGATTTTCGATAAAATGCGTTTTACTCGATGTTATAACGCATTCCCTAGGAGACCCGTGACCGGCAAAACATTTTATCTTTGACCTGACCTTGACGTCATCGGTGACCCGAGGTCAATGAAATTGGAGATCCCTCGACAAATGTGACAGGCTTCGAACGACGTTTGAATTTTGCGGATCCACCAGTAGTTTCGGAGATACGAGGGGGGCGGGGCAAAAATAGACCCCCTCCCACCACGTCGCGTTATATAGAGGATTCTTCATGGCTCCGGTGGAAGATAAGGATATCTTTTCCAAGCGGGTTACTGAAAAACCGAGCGACGAAGGAGCGAGGTTTTTCTGTAACACGCGAGGAAAAGATATCCGATCTTCCACGAGTGAGCCATGAGGAATCCTATATCTTTCTATGTTGAGGTTTATTCTTAATTAATTAAATATTATATTTAAATGCATTCATCTATGTAAAATAGATTCAGAGTAGTTTGTTTATTTATTTATTTATTTATTTATTTATTCATATCGCCGACGGGAGGACCCATTAAAAGACGAAGTCGCACTTTTAAAACGAATAAGTTACATGCATAGGTACAAAGACGACACACTCGGGTAGGTATACATATAATAAAAGACCAATAAATAAACGGCCGGTAAAAAAATAAAGAAATACAAAATAAAAATAGATATAAAAGATAGAAGGTATAAATAAATAAGAATACTCAATAGAGTGCGATAAGTGACAACAAGGATGACGACAAGATGCCAGTAAAATGCTAGTAAATGAAATGAATGAACCTGCCAGGCAGGCACATCGAATACAGCGAGGCATTTCCATTAGCGTCACATTTCCGCCACAAAATGTCTGACGCTGCTACGGAATGTGAAAATACCGTCGCAGAACACGTCCACCGCGGGAAGTTTGTTCTTATTTCATAAGTTTCATCCATAAACAACCATTAAAAATGTCGTTCGGTTATTGACCCATCATTACATGAACTCTTGATTTTTCGCTATGAACCCTCGAGACTTTATCTTTGCATCTCAGAGGGATGCAGATATAACAAATTCTTATCTTTGCATCTCAGAGGAGTGCGAGATAGAAATATCCCTGCACTGTAGACCCAATGGCAAATAAACCTCAACTAGAAAGATAAACAGAACCCACCAGGGCGCGGGTTAAGTCTTAAGCCCAAGTGACCGTGAGTTATGCACTCCGAAACAATACTCTTAGACAGCTGATAATCCATCCTGAAAAGCCAGCTTATCAAATTTCAAACATTTTTATCTTTTTGATGGCCACTCTGACCGCTGACGCCAGACAGTTTTGGCCACATGGCTCACTCCTGAGAGCTGACCGGAAAGAGGATAAACTTGCAGTGATTGACTCCCGACAAATCATCGGCGTCACTTGCTGCCTGTGCGTACAGTTAGCGATAGACATTGGCTACCGACTGGTTGGCTTCAATCACCCTCAATCGTCGCGAATGACCCACTTGCTGACTTAGTACCGAGACGTACCCGTATCGGAGACCTCTATGTTGCGGCGTTAGCCGTCTCTGTAGGAAGTGGACTCTAGCAAAAAATAATTTGTCTAGATAAACTAGTTACTGTGGAACATATTGCCAGTTGACATGGCAGCCCCATAAGCTCAGTTACGATCTAAATTCAGCGTGCCTTTAAATAAGAGAACATCTAAAAGAAAATTTAGGTGAGAACGAATTTATGGGACACCCTGTAGGATTGAAAAAGTGCGATCAGACGCCAGGGACACAAAATTTTACCTTTTTTTCTCAAACGTCTACTAGTGTATGTGTGGTGGTGTGATGCCACCATGAGTTTGCATCCCTACTGGCGGCCCACTATGCCCCGGGCTAGTGTGCGCCGGCCGCCGGTCAGCCGCTGGCGGGGCGCGGCAGTCGGAGCCGGACAGAGGTCGCGTGCGTTTGGCTGGTGTCCAATACAGACGATCACCGACTGCCTGGCGTCTCAACATGGCGCAGCCGGCAGGGTCGTGAAAACCTGGCCACACAAAGGTAACATCGTTTTTCTAGAATCATATTACGCAAAACACGAAAACCCGCAAAAAAAAAACGCACGCAGAAAGCGCACAGTGTAGCCAGGCCTTATCTCTGTTAAGCCTACTGTGCGTTACCGTTGAGGGCAGTAGGTGCGTGTTCTCAGAGCCATGCTTGTGGGGTTCCCTTGATATCAGTTTCTGCATGGTTTTCCAGAGCTTCGTGAACTTTCCTATGCTGACGTGATCGTGACAACTAGCGAGCGCTTTGCCAATAAACTTACCTTCTTAGTAAATGTTATTCTATTTACTTTATAACATATTTAATGCGTCATAAAATCGGTAATAAAACATGTAAAATAAAACCAATATTGAAAAAATACGTCACTCAGGTTCACATTACGCGCCATCAAGCTCACCAAGAACTGTCTCACCTCACGCAAGCACCCAGATTCGCAAAGCAGTTCGGACGTTTGAACTTTATATCGGTACGGACAACGAACTTCTGACCAAGAGCCTAAAAACAATCCTGACTTTCCGGCATTTCCTGGATTAAACTATTTAAATATACGGTGGACCAAACATCCGTGATATTCTTGACTGAATGTGCGTGACCCCCAGCATAGCCCAGTGTAGCCACTGGCGGATCCAGGCTTGCGTTTTTTTTTGGGGGGGGGGGGCAACTCATGCAGGAGCCAAGCCTAGGGTACCCCCAAATCCTGTTTTCTCATCGTATTTAGGCCACTTATTTTTCGTCACAGCCCTGACACTATATTTTTTTTAAACTAAAAAGAAAAATATATAAATGGTAGCCCACCCGACCCATGCCTTAATATTACTTTGTAAACACTTACTTACCATTGCTTTTGTCGACCAGTTAACCCGCTTCGAGTCAGTGCTTGGGTCCCTTTGCGGGCCGGGAGGTGGTAAAACACCCCCTGTCTAACTCGGCTCCTGGGCCACGCACTGATTGAACTATGTTTCATTATCGTTTGGGGGAGGGGGCAAACGGGCCACTTTAGGCCTCTGGGAAGGGGGCATGGCCCTAAATGCCCCCTCCCTGGATCCGCCAGTGTAAGAGACCATTGGAGCTGCAGTTGGGTACCTCAGACGTCAGGGTACGCCCTCAGATGTATAGGATTCGCATGGAGACCTCTTATGCTATAGTGGACTGAAAGGACCCAAAGGAGCCTGTCTAGGGCTCCCAGAGATAGACGTGGGCCCTCAGG